GTCAGAAATGAAGAGTTTGGGTCCAGAAAGAGAAGCATTCTAATGGGGTGGTGTAGAGTTCTGTCTGCTTGAGCATCAGATGCTTGGGGGTAAGCCATAGCTCCACCGTTAACCCCAGTGCCCCTCGTCTGTAAAATACCAGTCCTGTATTACAAACATCGTGGGGACATTGTAAGGATTAAATGACCTCATCACTGCAAATGACTCATGTGGTGACTGGCACAGGTAAATGTCCACAGTTCATGGCTTTATTTTGAATCTGTAGAATCAGGACTAAACAATGTCTCTCATCATTCCAGATGTGTGGCTGAAAACAGAAAGGCCTGTCCCAATTTAATGATAATCTTTTCTGTTACAAGTTAAATAGCTTTAGGAAAATTTCACTAATGATAAACAAAGCTTGAATCACCCGATCTCCCTACAGCTAAAGCTCATTTCTCACATGAGAATCAGGATCCCACGAGGAAAAGGATTAGCTGGATGAGAGGTTACAATCTTCCCCAATTTAGAAAATCATAGTCCTTTGGGAAAATGTCCAAATTGCTAAATCTTGGAAGCAGTCATTTTCCTTCTCTCAAATGGACACATTATTTAGGAAGTTTTGTTATTTTTGAGAAAGTCCAGTTGCCTTCAAAAATAATAGCTTTTGTGTATGGTTTGAAAGGCCACATCACCACAGATGGAAGAGTTGGGCATGTTCCATGTGGCGGGTGGCCCATGATGACCCGTCCCCGTGGTGAGTGCTGCGGCCAGGATACGTGCCCTGGGTGAGGTGGTGATCCTGTCGGGGCCGCAGCAGAAGCGTGCAGTTAGACACCGAGGCATCGTTGTCAGTTTGTGAGAATGCCATACTTATAATTTCTCAATTTAATACCTAAGCAAATTCTTGCCATTATTGTGTTCTTGGTTTTTCTGAAGTCTAGACCTTCACCAAAGAAAGGAAACACAACACATTACTTTTAATGATAAGTATCTGTATGTCTCTTTTGGATCATTCAGAATGATACCGTAGAATCTCTGTGACTTACTGCCCTGTATAAAGGATCATGATGAATCCTTACCCTGTTTGAGGCACTGTGCAGGTTCTTCATATCATCCTCAAATGGTCCTCACAGCACCTCAAGCAGGAAAAGCATAGTTAACACTGGAGGACACCAAAGCATCTTTATTTATTAATTACTATGTAACTTGGTGGGAAGATACTGAGATTAAATCTCTGACTTCAGGAGATTGTGTTGTAGCACAGCAGGTTAAATTTGCAATGCTAGCATCCAATATAGACTCTGCTTCCTGTCCTGGCTGCTCCACTTCTGATCCAGCTCCCTGCTAATGGGCTGGGAAAAGCAGGAGAGGATGGCCCAAGTGTTTCACCAACATGGGAGACAGGCATGAAGCTCCCTCCTGGCTTCAGTTTGGCACATACCATCCATGTGGCTATCTGGGTTTTGAGGCAGCGGATGGAAGATCTCTCTTTCTCTGTCTCTCCTTCTCTCTCTGTAACCATGACTTTTAAACAAATAAGTGAATCTTAAAAAAAAAAAATTTCCAACTTTAATGTCTTTTCTACTCAACCCTTCAGTATTCTATTGGTTCATACTTATTTCATATGACCCCTTATTTTTTCTATTTATCTCTAAATTATGAAAAAAAATTCTATCTATTCTGTTACTTACTCGATTAATGTATGTTAATTCAGACTCCCTTTGAAGACATTAATTAGGATAGAAAAGAGGAATATGATTCACCAGGGAAGTTTTTTAATAGCACGAGTATAAGTGAAAAGTGATAAAATAGTGTTTTTTCAGTTTTATTTGGATCAAAATTTCATGGTCAAAGATAGCAGAAACTGTGAGAGTAGTTAATTTATTAATTTATAATACAGATGGGGGCCGGCACCGTGGCTCACTAGGCTGATCCTCCGCCTTGCGGCTCCGGCACACCGGGTTCTGGTACCGGTCGGGGCGCCGGATTCTGTCCCGGTTGCCCCTCTTCCAGGCCAGCTCTCTGCTGTGGCCAGGGAGTGCAGTGGAGGATGGCCCAAGTGCTTGGGCTCTGCACCCCATGGGAGACCAGGATAAGTACCTGGCTCCTGCCTTCGGATCAGCGCGGTGCGCCGGCCGCAGTGCGGCGGCCATTGGAGGGTGAACCAATGGCAAAGGAAGATCTTTCTCTCTGTCTCTCTCTCTCTCTCTCTCACTGTCCACTCTGCCTGTCAAAAAAAAAAAAAAATACAGATGGAACTTATTTATTCCTTTCATATCAATTTTTTCCTTTGAAAACATATTTAATTGTAGCAACTGTGACTCAAATTCTTTAACTTCAAAATTTGACAATCCTGAAAATTTTTGATTTGTGAAAATTTAAGGTTTTTAAATTTTACCTAGTAACTTAATAGTAATTACTTTAATGTTGTAAAATATAATGTAGAAATTGATATAAATTTTATAAATTTTTCCTTATGAAATACAATTTCATCAGTTATCTAGGCCATACAGAAATAGAAAAGGGAACACTAGGCTCTCCTCATCCATCATCTCTGAGTTAGCAGCTATAAAAGCAAACTTTCCTCTTTGTTCAGTATTTTTTTTTTTTTGACAGGCAGAGTTAGACAGTGAGACAGAGACAGAGAAAGCTCTTCCTTCCGTTGGTTCACCCCCTATAATGGCCCCTACAGCTGGCGCTGCGCTGATCCGAAGCCAGGAGCCAGGTACTTCCTCCTGGTCTCCCATGTGGGTGCAGGGCCCAAGCACTTGGGCCATCCTCCACTGCCTTCCTGGGCCACAGCAGAGAGCTGGACTGGAAGAGGAGCAACTGGGACAGAATCTGGTGCCCCAACTGGGACTGGAACCTGGGGTGCTGGCGCTGCAGGTGTAGGATTAGCCTAGTGAGCCGTGGCGCTGGCCTATTTGTTCAGTATTAATCCTCACTCACAAATAATATGTTTCATGGCTTGCTATGGAAGCTCATAGAAAATTATGTGTATGTTTTCTGAAATAGAAGTGAGTCTACAAGATGACGTAGTTAGTATTTCAGTGTGGGTTGCGGAGTATGACTGATATACTCCTGACCTTTAGCTGAAATAGTCATTGAATTCAAGAATTTGAAGAGACGGGCCCAGTGTTGAGGCACAGCAGGTGGAGCTGCTACCTGCAATACCAGCATTCCACGTGGGAGCCCTGGTGTCAGACCTGGATGTTACACTTCCAAACCAGCTCCCAGCTAATGTACATGGGAAAGCAACAGATGATGGCCCAAGTACTTGGGCCCCTGCCACCCACAAATGAGACCAACATGGAACTCCAGGCTCTGGCTTTGACCCGCTCCAGTCCTTGCAGCCATCTGGAGAGTGAACTAGAAGATGGAAGATCTCTCTACATCCCCGCCCCACTCCCCATGTGTCACTGCCTTTCAAATAAAATATCAAAAAAGCATAATTTGGAAGGCTAACCAAATGTTTAAATGTATAAGGTAGGGTAGAAAATACAGTAACAGTGCTATTCAGAGAATACTGTGGTAGGGAGACAGACATAGTGAAAGTACTGATAAGTGAGGTAGGCTGAGAGAGTACCTCCTAGAAGTCTACTGTACTAATCTTGAAGTTAAGCAGAGTGATTTTAGGCAAAGAAGCTGGAGAACAGGTATGTTGGAGCAGGTGGAAACTGAAATCCATAGGTGCCCAACTTGTCATGGTTTAGTGCATAGATTTCTGGAGCAGCCACCTTGGTTCACACTTCTCCTTACCAAAACTAATGTTATAATTTATGTTATAATTGTTCTAACCCCATAGGGTTGTTTAGCTCAAACTTATTAATCCCATAACAAGTTGTACAACACATGAGAAATGCTGAATAATAATTAGTTGCAAGAGAATAAGAAGGAACAAAATGTTGGGGAACTTCAAGTCATTTGGTGTTGCTGAAGAGCAAGTGCAATAAATGAAAAAGGAGGAAGATGAAAGGGCCATGTACCAAGTTAGAGCTGGGAATTGCCATGTAGGCAATGAGAAAGAAAACAAATGGCCTAGTCAGATAGGATTTTAAATAACTCTGATTAGGGAAGCTAAATCACCATAGTAATTGCTGAGACTAGATATAGTGTAAGAATATTATATATTCTTCTTTTATATTAACAATAGAAATAGAAAAAAAGAGATGATAATTGAGATAAATATTTAGAAGGTCAAATTGGCAGGGTTTGCTTCTAACACTTAATAAACTACATAGCCTGGGTAATAGTTTGGGAGAGGAAGGAGCAAATGATGTCCTGAATATTCTTTATTTGGAAGAGTTAGTAGCTAAAGAAAACATAAAAAAGCAGGCAAGAGACAAAGAGATTAAAAAAGTAAATACGGGTTTGAAAGATAAAAAAAGGAGTGCAGTCTGTAGACCTGTTGAATTCAAGGTGCTTATGGAACATTCATTTAGAAATAAAAGTTAAAAATAGGGTTTCATCTTAAAGCAAGAAATTTCAAGAGTGATTCAAAAGGACAATAATGGCAAAAGTAGAAGGTTTCCCAGGGACAGTTTGTGCTACACGAGGTGGGAAGAAGAGGGTCTAACAAAACAAATGGGAAAGACATAGTGGAAGGTTAGTAGCTTAATAGGCTTTCAACTTTGATAAAAGATATGGTTTTAGATTTTGAAAAAAATTAATTCAGGCAAGAGTAAGAATCTAGTGCAGTTAAATAAATATTCTTTTATGTTTTATACTACTAAGCAGTAATTATATCTATAGGTCATTTGGATATACCAAAACATGTCATTTTATAGATTGATTGAAGAAATGCTTTTTTATTAAATAAAAATATTTACCTTAAATTTGGGTCACAGAATTTTAAAAATAATCTAAAATCTAATCATATTTTGAAATAAATTTCTTTAAATAATATTACTTTTCCATTATTTTGAGTATTTAACTGTTATTTAATTTTAGTTGTGGAAACTTAAAAATAACATTTTCTTAATATCAATCTTTTTTATTTTAATTATATTCTGAAACAGCATGGGCATTAACCATGACAATGACCACCCATCATGTGCTGATGGTCTTCATATCATGTCTGGTGAATGGATTAAAGGACAAAATCTTGGTGATGTCTCATGGTCCCGGTGTAGCAAAGAAGATTTGGAGAGATTTCTGAGGTACTGAGGTCATTTATGGTTGCTGCATTGGAAATGTCTGTGTGTACCTGCTGCCTCTGCCAACCAGGATAGGCAGCATGACAAAAGTGTAAAGGCCATCAAAGTGGAAATCAAGGCACCAAGTCCAATTTTGACTCTTCCATGGACTCATAGAGTGGATTGGGACACATTATTTAACCTATAGGCCTTTTAGTTTACACATTTTCACATAAAAGGATGCATAAGATGATTGGAAAGGTTGAAAAAATGTTGTAAATGTAAAAAACTGTCCCAGTATTCACTGCCTCTTTAGTGTTTCCCTAGTGAAAAACTGATCATCACCAACACAGCTATTGTTATTGTAAGAGAGCCTCTTTAACAGTGTCTCCACTTTTCCATTGAGATAGTTCTCAACTCTAAATCTTTCTCTATTAATGAGTAGGTTTCACCATTATAATAGTCTTTGATATTCTTCTTCCTTCAACAACAGTAACACTTAGATTCTGTCTGGTTGGAAAAAGAAATTAATATATTTGTTATTCTAATTTTCATTTTAAAGTCCTTGTTCTTTGTTTCTTTCTTTGGTGATAGAATGCCTAGCTGAAATAGTAGATGATATGAAAAGTAGTTACAGAGATGCTTACAGTATCAAAAAGTCTAATAAATATAAGAATTCCTAGCTAGCTAAAATCACTACAGAGATGAACTTTATTCACATTTCAGACCTTTTAATTTGATGGGCTTTATTTTCTACTGAATCTTAAGATCTAAAATATGATATGATATTACTCTAACATTATTCTAAAATACATGCAATAAATCCTATGCATGTCATGCCAGAATAGACTACAGCATTCTAGAAAGTAATATTTTGAACATGCCATCAGAATTTATAGCCCTATGAACATATTTCTAAGGACAGGTATGATTGTGTATGGCTGTCTTAACATAAAGCATGATTGTGAAAAATTTTAATGTTACTTCATAAATGGAAGTTGTATTATAATGTCGGATACAAAAATGCCCACACTATTAAATTTCTTTAAGTCTCCAAATATAGCTGTCTTCTTACCATTACACATTACTTTTGGGCAAGCTACTCTCCTGAGTCAGAGCTTCTACCTCTTACAAATACATAAAAAAATACTCACCTCACAAGATTATGTGAGCAACATGAATGCACTTTATACATCAAGAGTTCTATTAATTTGAACACTAATATTATTTATTAGGATTATCTCAAATAATTGCAAACACATATTCTCATATATGAATTATTCTATTAGCATTCAATTGAAGAGCTTATAAGAGGGAAAGTACATCTTTAATATAATGAACATGTTTTTGTTGTACTAACTAATCATGACAACTTCTTTCATTACATTCAACATTGTTCACTGTTCATCTTGTCAGGTCAAAGGCCAGTAACTGCCTGCTACAGACAAATCCCCAGAGTGTCAATTCTGTGATGGTTCCCTCCAAACTGCCAGGAATGACATACACAGCAGACGAGCAATGTCAGATTCTCTTTGGGCCATTGGCTTCCTTTTGTCAAGAAATGCAGGTAAGCAGTCATGTCCAGGTGGAATGTTCTAAGTGTTCACATTCTGTTTTTAGAAGTATTGACTGTAGAAGGAGAAGGTGGCTTTATGAGGGAGTTGATGGTTCAAAAGCAACCCAGTCCTTAAAGAGTTTTCTAGGAAAAGATTTGTACATTTTCTCCCATGAACTTTGGAAGTGATAGAAATAAGGTATGGGCATTAAACTAAAGGCATCAGCATTTAATCAAATCTAGTCTAAAATTACACTGAAGATAGGGAAGTATTACGTTGTGCCACACTTTGCTTCTATTTAGGAATCTCATACTTTCTTATTTGGTAACTGGGTGAAAATGCAGTTCAAATGATGTTCGGACATATAATTACTATCTTTCTACCCAAAAGACAAATTTTTACAAGTATTTTCATATGAACATGAGAGTTAGTTTCTAAACAAACTAGGGGAGTTGAAGCTAGCCTTGTAGCACAGCTGGTTAAGCCTCTGTGTGTGATGCTGGCATCCCATACTGGAGTGCTGCTTCAAGTCATGGCTGCTGTGCTTCGAAACCTGGTTCATGCTAATATGCTGGTCACCCATGTAGGAGACCTGGATGAGGCTTCTGGCTACTGGCTTCAACCTAACCCAGATCTGGCTGTTTTGGCCATTTGCACAGTAAAGCATCAGATGGAAGATATCTGTGTGTGTGCTCATGTGTGTATGTGTGTGTATCTCTGCCTCTCTGCATTTTGAATAAATAAATAAATCTTTAAAAAAAACTAAAGGGGAGAGGTATATGTCTGATGGTGAATTAAGCAGTGTATGTGTGTCTTCAAATAGTCATAATTACCTAGAGAGAGCAGTCATATTCATTCTAGAAAATCTAGAGAACCAAGAAAAATGGCCTCCTTAGGTGATGTAAGATTTTTAACTCTATTTATATTCCCTTCTTTCTTTCATTCTCTCTTCCTGTTACTCATCTTCTACCTGCCTGTATCCTCCTACTTATTCCAAACACACACATACTTTGAAATTCCTTCTTTTTTCATCTCTTAAAAAATGTAACTATTGGGTTTTTTATTATCTATTTCTCAATATGCTAGGTGTTGCCTTTTTTTTTTTTTAAACTAGGCATTGTCCAAGTAAGTCCTTGAGCCCTTGCCACCCATGTAGGAAAATTGGATGGAGTTTCAGGCTCCTGGCTTTGGCCAGGCCCAGTCCTGGTTCTCTTGTGGGCATTTGGGGAGTGAACCAGCAGATGGAAGACTGATATTCTTTCTCTCTCTCTCTCTCTCTCTCTCTCTCTCTGTCTCTCTCTCTGTGTCTCTCTCTGTGTCTCTCTCTCTCTCTCCCCCTCCCTCCATCTCTCTGCCTTTCAAGTAGATGTAAAGAAATATTACAAAAAAAAAAAAATCCAAAATTGTGAAGAAACCTGTTGAAGTAGGAAGGAATAGAGCCAAGAGCAATTAAAATCATGAAGGTGAAATGATGACATTATCAGAAAGAGAGTGATTAGCTCTGTCAAAAGCTGAAAATGAATAGAGTCAAAAAAAGTCTGAGAATTGGTTATTGATTTTTTTATCTCAAAAACTTTGGCACACTCTTATTTGAAGCTATCTGGGAGTGACTCACTATGTACATGTCTTTGTGTGTACCTTAAATATATAAAGTAAAATAGTTACAAATGTAGAGGACTGACTGGTTCTATTTGTTAATCAGCACATGTATACCTTCACATGGGTTATGTGTACTTTCTATACTTTCCAATCTAATGTAAATTCTGTACAGAACAAATCTCCTGGAAGGCAAACTCTGTCACATTACACAAGGTCTTGATCCCTTTCACCACTATCCTCTAGCACCTAAGTAAATGCTCGGTAAGTATTTTTTGAAACAAAAATGAATTAATTGAATTGTGAGGTCATTATTTGAAATTTTCACTCGTGTAAATACTTGGTTCTCAGATCGATGTCAAGATAATATGAAGATGACTTGGGTTATCAATGCATGACTACATAAAAGCCAAGCCATGAGCAGTTACTTGTTTCCCAGCATATGCAGGTTGTGGTTGGGCATTCCTATGACCTTCCCATTTCCAAACAGTTGTATCAAGCTTCATGGCGGGAGAGTTCCCAGCAGCCCTCAACATTTATGTTTCTGGCAGAATCTTCAAAACAGGAAGGCTCTGATTCAGACAATGACAATTAACCCACAGCATCTGAATTAGATATTTCTCCTCAATAGTTATAAACAGATACTTAAACACAAGTACTGAAGACTCCAGCATTGCATAATGCTGATCTAATTAATGATATAAATTTACCCCGAGGATAACAAGTCACATCTGCAAAATATTTAAAGACACTGATGTAGCGTGTTGTGAAACATCTTGACCCCCAGCAGCAAGAGCTCACTCTGCTGTATTAATTTGCAGATTGAATGGCTCACTTCTTGGATAGCCTTGTTCCTGAGTCTAAACAGTTGATGCCTTCAGGTCATCTGGCATCTCATGGCTCAGCCAGCTCCAACTGCATCAGGTCATTGTAAAAGCTTCCTAGAATTACTCAGCCTGGCTGGGAATCCAGAGATATGGAGAGATGTTTCCCTAGAAACAGTAAGAAGTGGCCCTGTAAGCATAACTTTTTTCAAAGAAGATGGAAATGTACTAAAATCAAAGATTCTAGAAACCTTAATGTACTGCCTTTGTGTCTGAACTGGGTACATGGTGATTCCATACATGTTAAATGTGCACAAATTTTCTATTAAGACTGAGTCATATAGTGAGTTTAAAAACAGAAGGTTCCGGTTTTATACATCTCTTACTATCTACTTGATTCACACAAATAGGTAGAACTTTCTAAAACCTCTCATCTGATCCAGTGAATATTCTGGCACTGAAATGAGGTAACTGACAATTCTGGAAAAATGTGTCTCTGTAATTTGGCATTATGCAATTTCAGAGGTGACAGTAATTTGGACTTAAACAGCTTAACATACAATACTTGGAGGACACGCGCCATATTATTTAAAACTTCTCGTGAAGCAGCAGTAGTGAAGAAAGTGTGTTACTGGCAAAAGGGAAGACAACGCATAAACCTATCACAATAGTCTTGTTAGACGCTCACATATATGTACAGTGGACAAGGAAATTCAGTGGGTAAAATAGTCTTTCAGCAAATTGTGCTAGGAAAGCTTGATCAAGAATTACTTCATATGTACTCTGAAATTAGCTCCAAATTTACAAAGCTATAACACTTTAGGGAAAATATAGGACAACAATTTGTTTTATAGGACACCAGAGCATGAACCATAAAAGGAAAAAAAGAAATTGTAGTTTAAAATTTATCAAAGTAAAGTAATTTCCTTTTAAGAAAACGATTGGAGAAAGACCACAGAATAGAAGAAAACATAATAATCACGTCTGACAGAGGAGTAATTCCAGAATGTATAAATTCCTAATATTCAACAATTAAAAACCAATCAGTCCACTAAATTGGGCAAAACATCTGAACAAATTCAGAAGCTCCTTAAAAGATCCCTGACATTACTAACATTGTATCAGAAAATCTAAATCAAACCCATAAAGAGCTATGTTTGCATACCCAGTAGAATGTCTTGAATTTAAAGGAGTGAAGATAGCAAATTATTGCACATAATATAAAAGCAATTGAAATTTTTTTAACATTTCAAGGTGTTCCTCTGTCTTCTTTAAGTAATCTGTGGTTTCCTTTGCCTGTGTTTGAATAGTGTGTTTATCTCTGGTTTTCAGAAGATTGACTGTGATGTCTCTCCGTATGCATTTCTGCATGTTTAGCTCGCTGGGGGTTATTGAACTCATTTGACTTTTCATGTATGTCATTTACCAAATTTTGAAAGAATTTCTTAGTGATTATTTCTTTAAATATGTTTCTACCCCTCTTCTGTCTTCTCTCCTGAATCCAATTATGTTCATGTTAGAAGTTCTGATATCGTCCCACACATTTCTGCAGCTGTTTAGTATTTTTCACTCTCTCTCTTTCAGACACAATGATTTTCCCTTGACCTACATTCAAGTTTACTTATCATTCTCATTCTTTTATTAAACCCATTCCGTGAAGTTTTTCAAATACTTTTTCATATCGAAATGAATTTTTCCTTTTAGTTCCTTTTTATTTTTCTCTGGAGATTTTTTTCATTCATTTCAAACCAGTTCCCTTTACCTCAGAGTATAATTATAGTTCCAGTTTTAAATTTTATGAAAATTACAACATATGTGTCATCTCAGGGTTCTTAAGAAAAGGTTTCATTTTTCTGGCTCTTCATATGTTAGTGATATCTAACTGTATGCTGGAAATTGTCATGCTCTATTTTAGAGCAAGGATTAGCAAATTTAATCAGGGTTCCCATTTTCCCAAATGAAGTTTTCTCTAGAACACAGTCATCTCATTTGTTCATATATTCTCTGTGGTTCCTTCAAACTACAATGACAGTGCTGAGAAGTTGCAACAGAAACCACATAAGCCATATTTCTAAAAGGCTACTGTTGGGCACTTTACAGAAAAAGTTTGGTAACCAGTATTGAGGAAACTCTGTTCCAAAGAGTGTTTTCATAAGCAGTTAAGTTTGTTAGACTCAAACTAGAAACCATTCCATCTACTGCGGGCAGCCATTTATATCTTGGATCAGTTCACTCTTCCCTACCGGGACTATGTGCTGTGTATAGTCACCTTGTGCCACCAGCAGTCTTCAAGTTCATGGACTGGAGGAGATGAAAGAGAAAACATCCAACTTACTGAGCTGGCAGTGCCAAGTCTCTATTAAGGGCTATAATTTCTAGGATATAAGTGAGGTAGATTTCTGATATTTCCTGCCACTAAAAGTAAGGTTTATAATTAATGGTTAAAGTCCAACTGCTGTTACTTTATGTAATCAATGCTTTTTTAGGTTTTCTTAACCTTTTTTTTTTTAAATCAATCTCTTCATTCACCATTGTTTTCTAGTCCTTTCCTGTTATATCATATTCCATTTTCCTTTTCTTCAAAAAAAAATTTAGATGTATCTTTTGGGCATATCTCTGCTGGAAAATTTTTAGTTTTTTGATAACTTGGAGAGTCTTTATTTAAAGTTTGAAATAAAATTTTAACTATTTTCACGAGTTTTGATTATCAAGATTTTCTTTCACTCTCATTCTTTGCTTGATTCTTAGAATAATACATCATGTATCCATTTCTTTACATTGGTGCTTAAGTGTCATCTCTTCCATGTTACTAATCTTAAAATAAAACTGCTGGGGCCAGTGTGTGGCACAGCAGGTAAAGTCACGTCCTCTCACACCAGCATCCCACATGGGCACTGATTTAGAGTCCCTGCTGCTCCATTGCTGATCGAGCTTCCTGCCATTGGTCTGGGAAAGCAATGGAGGATGGATCAAGTGTTTGGGCCCCTGCACTCACAGGGGGGACCTAGAAAAAAGCTCCCAACTCTTGGCTTTGGCCTGGCCCACCCCTGGCTGTTGTGGCCATTTGGGGAGTGAACCAGCAGTTGGAAGATCTCTCTGTCTCTCCCTCACTCTTTGTCTGTAACTCTGCCTTTCAAATCAATGAATGCATCTTTAAAAAATAAATAAAACTTTCAACATTCCACTATTCATTTTGATTTTTTATGGATTTTCATTGATTTCCATTAGTGATAAAGAAATTCCCTTGAATGGAAAGTTTGATAAGGTTTTTAAAAATAGATATTAAATTGCACAATATACTTTGTATCCATGTATATTAAAATTATAGATTTTTAAGTTGCTGATGTGCCTGATTATATATTAATCAAATCCTTAATGTTAAACTAACCTTGTATTTATGGGACAGAAAAAAAAAAAAACAACTTGATCATGGTGCATAGCCTGTTTTTAAGAGTTACTTGATTACTTGTGTTACATAACCTTCTTTAACAAATTTAAATCTAAGTTAATAATGACAGGCATTGTAGTAGGAAAGTTAAGCTACTGCATGGAGCTTGGGATGCCCCAGTCCCATAATAGAGTGCCTGACTGTGGTCCCAGTTACTCTGTTTAAAATCCAGTTTCTTGCTAATGCGCTTGGGCTGGCAGCAGATGGTAGCCCAAGTACTTGAGTTCCTGCCATTGACATGGGAGATCGAGATAAAGTTTCTAGCTCCTGGCTTACTCCCTCTCTCTCACTCTGCCTTTCAAATACATAACTAGTTTTTTAAAAATATTCATATATGTTAATAAATTAGGTAAATCTCTATATTTACTTTAAAAAGAAATCTCTGCCTAGTGTGAGTATCATCAAGTGTTTAGAGGTGTATCTGCTTTTTCCATTCTCTGGAGTTGCATGAGAAGAGAATTCAAGTTCATTGCAAGATTTGTTAGTTTTTGGACCAGGGATATTATTGAAAGATCTTTAGCAATCAGTTTTATCTAGTCCATGGCTATAGAATCATTAATCTCTTCTGTTTCTTCTTGGGTCCATTTTAGCTAGTTGTAATTTTCTAATATTTCCCATTTCTTATAAGTTGTCAAGTTTACTGTCAAAGTTATCTACAGTGTCTTTATATTTCTATTTCAACTATATTTCAGTTTTATTAGTATTTATTAAGAACTAGGTTTTAGATTTTCTGATTTTCTTTTGAATCTTTATTTTCTTTAATTCTTTCTCTCTTCATACCCATTTTTAATAATAACAAAGTATTCTATGATTGGAAAAGAATATTTAAAAAACAGTATTCCATCACAATTACATTTGCAGTAAAATATTGTTAGTGCAATTGTATTTTGAAAAGTAATACAAAGAACAGCAAGGAGTTACATTTCCCAGGGTTAATTATTACTTCCATGTATGTGCACTTAAGATTGTTTTACTTTAATATAAATTTCAGAACATCTTAATGGAACTGTTTGGCATAAAGAAAGACATAAGTATAGGTTCCTCAGAGATAAATTTTATATGATATTCTTACATAGACAAATAACCTTCCACTTATATGTATAGTATATTCATGTAAGCATTCTTGTAAGTATTTAAAAAGCCTACTTGAGATAAACATCTAGATTCCTGTTATATACTTTTAAGGATATCTTTTTATTATAGAATCATAAAAAGGGCATATTGCATTATTTGTATTAGTCTGCTAGAAATGAGTGGTACATTTCTATTGTGGATTTCCTTGTAAAACATTTTAAATTTTAAACTTGTTTTCTTAATTCACATATAAAGTTGAAGAAAAAAACAAATATTTAACTGTCGCCTGTATAACATATGGGCAATGTTTTGTTCTAACTCAATACCCCACCTGCCCCCATAGAAAGAACTTAGTATTACATAGCTATAATATCACACATTTGAAACCTACTTTCAAGGTGAAAACAATTCACACTATTTCTTCAACATTTTCTTGCTTTAACTTTTGACAGTTTGGTTTGAACTCCTGAATCTGAGTTATTTTTAAGACTGAGACTGTAATTTACTTCCCATAGAGCTGTAGATCTGTGGAGCAGAAAGGAGCCAAGAGATCTCTAGGAGAGATTTATTCTACGTGACTGTGCTTATCTTGAACAGCTGCCAAGTTTGCTTTTATGCTCTCAGTGCCTCCGGTGGGAATCAATTAGAGTACCTGCTGTTCTGAAGAGCAGACAACGGCAGAAGGTCAGAATTCAGACCACCGGCAGTGTTCACCAAGCAAGGATTACTCAAAAACTACTGTAGAAGATGTGCTGTGTTGCTGACTATGCACTGGTTAACTTAGGAACTTGACTAAAAAAATTACTGTTAGAACACATCTAAGCTTTATTAAATAGGGTAAAAAAGTCTACTTTCATGAAAAATTAGCCATTTGACCCCCTGATTATAAAGCATCTTTGTCAGAAGAGTCTTAGGGAGGTACATTTAGAAACGAAAATCCTCAAGTTAGAGTTCTGTTACTTCAAATTCAAATGTGCCCACAAATGCACAAGAGGAGCACTTGGCCCCTCTGCTTATTTTCAAGGATCTAAAATATTGCAGAAGAACAATATTTATATATATTTTCAAATAATTTCCTAGGTGAATTTTAAGAATGCACAAGTGCATATGAGTTAAGGTAAATAATACCCTAAATATAAAGGTATATATCCATGTGGAATATGTTAAAGCAGAAAAAATATATGTCACATGAAATATGTTACACTCTCACTGAGGTCTATTAAATTTTAGGAGCTTACAAACAGCTCAGAAATCTAAACTTTAAATATAAAGGAGGAAAATAATTGTTTGGGGAGTTTTGACAAATTCATCATTATAGTGGTAATATTAACTATACCCTTCTTCATGTATTTAAAAGATTTGGATCATGAGTTAACTTTAATTTTACTGTGATTTTTAGTCTGTCTTGGACATCAACACCTGAGTAACCCTCCTAAAATAGCATTTTTTGATCAACCTATGGGTTTACTGCTAAGCAGCTTCATTTGCCTACATATAAGCAGTTTCTAGTCCTGCTGGGTTCTTTCATTTCAAACTTACACCTCACTATTCCCTTCCATTATAGTACCTCCTTCAACCCCAGTTATGCATAAGGGTTATATTCCAAGACACCAGTGAGTATCTGAAACCACAGAGAGTAATGAACCCTCTGTATACCATGTCTTTTCCTATATGATCGAGTGTAATTTGTCGACTAGACAAATAAGAGGTTAATGATAACTAATAATAAAATACAGCAATTGTAATAAAAGTTATTTAAATGTTAAATGGTATCAATGGCTTATTTCTGGTGTTTCCATTTAAAATTTTCAGACTGTGGTTAGCCACAGATAACTTAAACCATGAAAAGCTAAACAAACATTAGCTGGCTGGGAGTGGGCTGGGAGGGCAGACAACATGCACTTTCTCCCAGTACACCACTATGTCTCTCACGTTTCTCTTGCTCTACCTTTATTGAGTGTTCTCTTCCACTCTGTAGATATCTACAGGTTGCACTTGAGTCTCACTAAAGCTTAAAATACATTGGTTACTTTGAAATGTCTCTGGTAAACTCCACATTCCTGTGTAATTTGTTAGCAATATGCATGTGTCTAAATATGTCCAACCATCTTACAGAAAGAGAAAGTTTCTGAGAATTTGTCAGTTAACCTCCCCTTATTTCAACCTCTTGGTTGGTCCCAACTGTAGATGCGGCTAAGAGTTCTGACAGTCCTCCCACTTGCATTCTTTCAGATTGTTTTTTTTTTTTTTTTCAGATTGTCTTATTACTACCATGTTTCGTCTGCTTTATCCTGGAATTTTTTTTTAATTCACATAGATTTTCCTCTAGAAAAAGTTTATAGTGTCTCAAAGGTCTAAAACTCGTTCATAATGAGGTACAAATGACTTATAATGATCCCCCAGGAATCTCTGTGTTGTGTTCAGGATGAAGTCTCTAAGATGGGATAACCAAGTACTGATTGTGACACAGAAGCAGAAAGTACAGCATCAGTGAAGATAGGATTTAGGGCAAGAGGCAAAGAATTGATACCACAAACACACTTATTCTTCCATCCCAATTCATATAATGGTGTAATTTTTCTATTGTGTCTAAATAATCCTGCATAGCCATATGCATTTTATTTAAAGGAACTGACAAATATTTGATTTTCTTAAACAAATATTCTAAAGTTGCAATATTCTCACCACTATAAATGAACCCTTAGCACTGAGATTTCATTGCTGTGTCTTTCATATACATTAGGTCATGTATTATCTTGATTATCCTTTTAATATTAAAAGTATCTAAGCATATTTTTCTTCATTACATGTTTGACATTGAAATAGCTTTCTTAAAATTGATTGGCTTATTCTTAACAATTAATTCTTATCAATTGACATCTTCCACTCATTAGTTATTGCACTGTTATTTTCAGCATGTTATTTGCACGGGTTTGTGGTGCAAGGTGGAAGGTGAGAAAGAATGCAAAACCAAACTAGATCCACCAATGGATGGAACTGATTGTGACCCTGGTAAGGTAAGTCATTTGTGTTGCCTAAATTTAATTAATCTTAAATGAAATGAGAAAATTGCATTTTCTCTTCCCAGTTATGCATTCATATCAACACTGATGGAATATTTCAATATAAGCAAAATGTTAGCATTTCATGTTTTTTAACTTAACTTTTATATTTTTTCAAATCTGGTTGTTTTATTAATACTAATGTGTTTTATTGTTGCTTATGACTATAGATGAATCAAGATATATGCATTACTTTAACAAAAAATAAATTGTTTTAAGTTAAAGATAAATAACGTACATAAAAATAGCATAAATGGTAAAATTTCTCAAGGCTGATTAAAACCTTTCAGGTATAAAATATTGTCTTAAGGAAACAACTAAGTACCTATACATTTTTCTTGTCAATATAAGCATTAATAAATATTCTGATTGACATTTGGATTTTAATAAATATTTGGTTGTCTACATAGTTTCATGTGCTTCAGAAGGATATAGGAATTTATTAGTATAATTGCCAGGTCAACATAATTGCTGTTTAAAATTTATTTTTCTTTCAAGAATATGAAGTAAGTGGATCCCATGTGTACAAACATTTACACTTCATTTCATCAAGTGTAGAGGCCAGTGGCTTATATACAACATTTTGTATTTTGTGTACTATGAAAGGAAGGTAGAATAGTTATCAATTCATTAACTATAAGACCAGAAACATTACCTTTGAGGAATATGATGAATGTTTATTATATCTGAAAATATACATCATCTAAAGTATCTATATGTTACTTGAGGTGAGCTATTGGGGAGGAAATCAAGCTATCTGACGTGGTGCTTATAAAACACACCCGTTAGAAGAATCACTGGAAATCCAGCAATACTACTTCTCAAAAATTATCCTAGGAAATCCTGTACTTAGATATGTGCCCTAAGTTGCATATACACAATCTCTCCCTTTTCTCTCTTTCTCCTTCTTTCTCTCAGACACACACAGACACAGAAACACATATGCACACACACATACACACACAAACACATATGAATATGTAAGGATGCAGTTTGCAGGGATAAGAAATGAGAAAAAACAAATATTCATAAAGAGAATGATTTCAGTGTAGCTTTTAAAAAATAGGGTAGACGCTATGTGTTAACATGAAGAGATCTCTAAGACCTGGATATTATTACTAGGCATGTCAGAAAAATTGACACTTTATAATACCATTTGATTGTAAGAAAAATAGTTTGTATACAGATGTGAACATATGCATATAGTATATATTTTTAAACTCACAAAAAATGATTTGAATGTACAAACTCTAAGCTGTAGTTAGTAGTTATCTCTTGGGAGGGAGGTGGAATGGATGGGTGGGAGGAAAGCAACAGGAGGTAAGGGTCATTATTACTTCTTTCCAGACATTTTTGGATTAAGTGAAAATAGCATGAAGTCATTTATTATTTTTATGATTTCTCTCATTGAAAAAAGAAATGTAGTAATTATTTAAATCCAAACTATATTTTTTATTTAAAAAAAAAGATTTATTTATTTATTTGAGAGGGAGAGTTAACAGACAGAGGGAGAGACAGAGCTCTTCTTTCTGCTGGTTCACTCCCCAGATGGCCTCAATGGCTGGAGTTGAGTAATCCAAAGCCAGGAGCCAGGAGCTTCTTCTCAGGTCTCCTATATGGATGCAGTAACCCAGGCACTCCGGCCATCTTCCACTTCTTTCTCAGGCTCTCAGAGAGCTGGATCAGAAAGAGAGCAGCCAGGACTCAAATTGGCATCCACGTGGGATGCTGGCACCACAGGTGGAGGCTTAATCTACTACACCACAGTGTTGGTCCCCAAACTATCTAAAAAGTCTAGGTGTATGTGATAACTGGATCCCATCAATAAGAAGATTATTCCTTAGAGGGAGTTTGTGCAAAATATTAGTTGTTTATAGGTATGTCAAATATTTTTCAATTTAATTTAAAAATACATACACATAACACTAAAACAGCTTGTGAATATAAGGAAAATTTCATGAAATTATGCTGAATAATTCATTGTTTGACTCATAAAAGTGCACTTAAGCAATTATTTTCATGATATACAGTGATAACCAAACATTAAGCTCGAAGTCCTTCAAATTCACAACACCCATTTATCTTACCTAGTTCAATAGCAATCTCTCCATCTTTATAATGTGGTACCCTAAATATTTTTCAGTTATGAGTTTTTCTTTTCATATTTATGACATTAATTTGCATTTTTGAGATTTCTAAAATAAACTTATTCTTTCAGCAATCAACTGTTATTACTCATCCAAAGTCAAACGCTTTATTTCTCTATAACTGTATTAATGATTTTCTTTTAGAGGCTCTGTAATGTGTTGTGCATTGAAATAACTAATGAGTTCTCAGTTCCCCAGGCCACGTGAGCTTCTGTTCCAGCTGTTGTAGCTGCCATCAAGGAAATAACATCCCACACTGCTGTTGTGCGGTAGTGCGAACATATCTGAAATTCTTGCAGCCTTGCATTAAACACTACTGGCTCTGTCCATTGCATACCAACGAACAAAGCTGGGGGTTTTGTAATTCGTAACACTCTGGTGCTGCCAATCGAGCTGTATAAATCTAGTTTATGTAAGAGTATATATTTAAGTCTGAGAATGTGCCTATAGAATTAAATTATTTTGAAGTTAAAGATTTATATATTAGTTACAGACAGCATTTTCCAAATTAAAATAAACCTGCTTTTTCCTCTCTTTCTTGATACTTTCTCCTTTTTTTATCACTTTAAAATTTATAATACAAATACGAATGCACATTTAACAGCAATTAATGGCTTGATAAATGATTTAGTAAAAACAATCAATGTATGATTTTTTTTCTTTTCAGTATTTGTATTTTCTATGGATGGGGAGAGGAGAAACAGACGTTAAAGAACAATGTAGTAGACTGTTCTGAAATAATATAAGGACATTTCAAAAAATTGGTCCAAATGGAAACAAAAGTTAAGTTTATTTTGGTGTGAAAAGTTATAAATTATATATATGAAAGTCTTCAAAAAGTTCATAAAAAAGCACATTATGAAAACACTATGCATGGATTTCAATTTTTTGCACCAAAGTAAATTTATTGTTGAATTTCATTTTTGTCAGAGTTTTGAATTTTTCTTGAACATTTTAATTATGGACTTTCCTCAGTTGAGATTCCATACATTATCATTATCATTTATTACTAGAAGTAATGAAGAATGTAACATCCTAAGTCACAAAATGTAGAGATTTTTTGCTTTCCTTAATCTTCTTCTCTTCTCCATAGCATATGTGGAAGATCTGCTTAGAGCATAATCAGTTCCCTTTGGCATCTTCATGGACTTCTCTGTGTGTGTGTGTGTGTGTGTGTGTATATGTGTGTTTGGTAATGCACCATCCCAGAAACAGTATATATTATTTAATTCTTTAGCTTTCCCATAAATCAGACTGAGTAAGTATATACGTTTTGAGTTTTTCAGACCATGTGAAATATGTTTTGAGGCCCCCCAAAATACTAATGTTCTAGAAAACAAAACATGGTGTTGGAAAATATGGAAATGATAGAAAGCATCATTGTATATGTGAGTCAACTGAATATGGTGTATGACAACTAAGGGAAAACATTTCTCACTTTCCTCAACACTGAAACACAGCACCATCCAGAAAACATAAAAGCTGAGTCCCCCTAGTTTGACGGACTTAAACATCATGCTCTGCTTTCTCCAAATTTCATTGATTGGTGTATGCAGATTAGCTTGCATAGTTGTTTGCATTCCTCTTCATCTACCAGATGTGATCTAGTTTAAATTACTTGCAGTTAGATGTCAGTCCTTCTCACAGTATTTTAGTCCGGTATGAACTCCAGTCTAGCCTTTCAATGCCAGCTTGCTGCTTAGCAGGCAAGGAGCTAAGATATGCAATATGGGAAAAGTAAATAACCTCACGTAGTCCAAAATACTGTGACCAATTCAAGTCTGACAGCTTTCACATTTGATTTCTTGTTTCCCACAAATGGCATAGCAGTGTTAAGTCCTTAAAACCAGCAGATAATATAAAAGTTTTCACATGGTCTGTTTTCTCTCCCTTTCCCAGTGTCAGACTGCATCTCATTACAATACTTGAACTCATTTAATGGGAATCTAAGCATATGGATGTGCTTTGAGTCGTGGAAGTTTATCTCTTCTCAAGCTTAGATTTAAAACTTTTAAAATCTAAAGGAAGTCAAATTTAAATTTTGACATTATCAGAAATCATCTATAGGGATTCAGGTTTTATTGTATGAAAGTGTTAACTGGGTTAAAATAAAACTATATAGCATAATCTAAGTTTTCCTTTCTAAAAACACTAATAAAAACAAATTCTTTAAGTAAGGAGATCAATAAAAAGAATGAACATAATTTGGTTAGATTTCTAAAAACTTAATAATATTAATGTAACTATATATATGATACTTCAAAGTTCATGGAAACATATACTCTGAAAAAAGCTATGCATGGATGTAAAGATTTTTATGATAAAATAAATATCATTTAATTCCATTTTCCATGAACTTTTTGAATAACTTTGTATAATAATGTGTTGTTATTAACTTCTAGTGTAGGCTGTGCTTTATGTTTAGTGCTCCATTCAAGACCTTGCAAAAAATCTATTCAGTAAATGTGATTGTCATTCACGCAAAAAGTCTATTCAGTAAACATGACTATCATTCACATTTTAGAATTGAATAGGTTTAGCATCAGGAGCATTTCTGTAATTGCCTCAAAACCTTGCATAAGCCCACATTGTCTCGAAGTGCAGAAAGTCATTTAGGGATAGAAGAATCAGCTGAATTCCCTGACTGTACAATCACTAATCTAAATGCTCTGAACCTTTACTTATCATTCTCAACATGATCATCTGAGCTTTAAGCCTTTGGGATGTGACCATCATCCATCTGCTTTCCCTTCCCTGCCCCTTCCCCTTCCCCTTCCACTTCTCCTTTCCTTTCCTTTCCTCAGGCAGAGTTAGACAGTGAGAAAGAGAGAGAGACAGCGAGAAAGGTCTTCCTTTTTCTGTTGGTTCACCCCCCAAATGGCTGCTATGGCCGGCGCACAAATTCAGTCTGCCTGTCCTTCACATAAACTTAATTTTCAAAAGAATTCTTGCTATAATATTAATGTTTGATGTTGACAGAGGCTCAGATAAAAAAAAGCATAAAAGAAAGTGCTAAAAATTAAATCTCTTATTTTAAATTACAAAGGGTAAATCATGGACACTTCAAATCAAAGTTGCTAAATTTGCTGAAATATTTGTTTTGAATTAGTTACTAAACATTTATTTATTTCTTATATTTGTATGCATCATCCTCTTTATTCTTTTTTTTTTTAATCCCTTTTAAATTGTTTTCTGTTCCTTGCAATGGGTTAGTTTTTCTTTCCTGGCTGTGCAACCTCAGATTTTATGTCCATCACCTTCACCTTATCTCCATCGTTGTGTTGAATTCTCAGGACTATAGTTAACTTTTCTGCACTGCTTTCACGTCAAGGCTGCTGGAGCTGATGCGAGAACTGTGATAATGGGATGATGACACTAATGACAAAAAGCAAATGTCAACTTACTTTCAGTCTTTTTTGATGTTTGGGGCTCTAGTAGACCCAATTAGATTGCAATAATTGCAGTGAGTGTATAGGCCAGTGGATGATTTTCAGTTGTGCCCTGATTTGTTCACCTAAGACATAACTTTTGGAATAGTGGTGTAAGGCTGGAGAATGTACCAGCAGGACCTCAGCATCTGAACACCTGGCCGGAGAGTGGAGCATGTGGAGTCCCTGCAGCCGAACCTGCAGTTCTGGGATCAGCAGTCGAGAGCGCGAATGTCCTGGGTAAAATCAGAGTTCCTGGATTGGGGAGGGCATTGTTTCTTCCATGTTGAGATGCACAGGTTTTGCTCATAAAATGTGTTGGAAAACAAAGAAAACCCCTCAAGCTCTACTCCACTCTTAAAAACAGAAAAGTCCCTTGATTTATGTATTTTATGTGAAAGCTCCCCATTAAGCATCGGTAGGGAAACGTATGCAATATATAATTTGTCCAGATTAGTTTTCATTTGGGAAAAGAAATTCTGAAATATATTTCAAAGGCAGTTACTCATCAATTGAAAGCCCTCCAAAAAATGATCTATTGGGAAACTTTGATATACTGTGGTGGAAAAAGAAAAGTTCCCTCAGTTTATTGGAGGGGATAACTTTAAAAAAATGCTTAATGGCTAAGTATACTTGGTGTAGAAAGATTAAAATTGCCAATTTTAACATTGCTGATACATCTGAAACTTATGTGATGTTTTGGTAAAAAAAAAAAAAGAACAGAAACAGCAACCCTTCCAAATGTAAATAATGAGCGCTATCAAAGATTTCTTAACTGAGTCAAATAAATGGTGAAGTTAAATAAGCAGAGAGAGTCCTCAGAAGCTCATGGAAAATGCAGTGATGAAAATGTTGTGCATAGTTTTCAGATGTTTCTACATGAAACAAACTTATCTGTCAATTATATTTTTCTACAAGCTGTCTGAAATCTCATATTTAAAAGAGTAACTTACCATTTAACACAACAGAGAGGGGCAGGAAAATGATAGGACTTCAGAAAAGGAAGGAAGAGGAGGAAGAAAAGGTGATAAAGGCCCAGGCTAATGTAAAGCACATTACAGACAGGGCTTCTTAAAAGATCAGCATGTCCAACCACGCCACTCCTAGACATCATCCCAGGGAAGAGGGAAAAAGTCACCGTAGCTTGTCTGCTTCAACGCTTAGTGCTAAGCTCAGAGGCACATTTCTGTCACAAGCAGTTTTTAATGATTTGTAATGAAAACCTGTGACCACATCTCCTTAGTAAATCTCAGAAAGAAACTTCTTCATAGCAACGACAAGGGTTCCTATTTTGCCCCCAGTCTCTGCCCTTTAATCCTCTAGATCATTTTCATGGAAAGTTGACTTTTTTCCTCTTTTATTTTGGAAGGTAAATTGATCAAGGTTTTAAAAATATTATATTATTACCAATCACTTAATGCGTCCAAGTTTCTAAAACTAGATTTAGAGGATTATTAATAATATGATTGTTTCTAATTTTTTAAAAATGGGTAATTAAAAAATGGGTAATTAATGTCCAAAACAAAGATAAAATTGGTTATTTGCACTATCTTTTCTAGGCTAGGTTCTGAAGCAAGGGATTGTAATGGTCCCAGAAAACAATACAGAGTATGTGAGAATCCACCTTGTCCTGCAGGTCTGCCTGGATTCAGAGAGTGGCAATGTCAGGCCTATAGTGTTAGAACTTCGTACTCAAAGCATGTACTTCAGTGGCAAGCTGTCCTGGATGAAGGTATGACCGGCCAGCTCCCCACCATTTTAATTAAGTAGACTTCTGGGTTTCCAAAGTGCTTTACAATAGTTATGTTGTATTTCAGGTTGTCTTCTAGAGTTTAATTTTTTAAAATTTTTTCTACCTTTGTTGACATATAACAACCACACAACTAACAAAAGTATTTTAGAAAATATAGTAAGATCTTTTGAATATCTCTTAAAACAACTAGAAACAGGGAAAACACCAGACACTGGTGAACATGAGGAAAAACTAGATCAATCATACATTGTTGGTGGAAGGATGAAGCAGTCCAGCTGCTTTGAAGAATAGTTGGAGAGCTTTTTAAATAACTAAACAGACACTTATCATACAATATAGAAATCGTATTCCTGGATGATAAAATACTATTCGCGAGTGAAAAAGGAGGAAATCCCTGATGTATGTAACAACTTCAGGGAGCTTAGAGCATTAGTTTGTATGAAAACACCAATCTCAGAAGTCCCATGCTGTGTGATTGTATTTAAATAACATTCACAAAATGATAAAATTATGGGGATGGAAAACAAAATAATACTTCTCAGGTGGTGAGAAGGAAGGAAGGTGGGTATTACTGTAGAGGGTAGCATGGGCAGGACCTTCGTGTTGATGAAATAGCTCAATATCTTAATTGTGACAGTGATGGCACAAATCCAAAATATGACAAAATGGCATTGAACACACATACCAATACCATTTTCCTACTGTATTATAGTTACTGAGGCGTACCAGTTGGGAGAAACTAAGTAAAAGATGTGTGGGACTTCTTTGTTCCACTTTTATAACTTGCTATGGTATGTAATTATTTTATGAGAATTTTAAGAAAATTTTATGCTGCTTATTAGTTAAGAATGATAATGCTTGCCTTTGGTGAGTAGGCTGTGAGTTTGTTACTGAAAAGTGGTGATGGAGTCTTGGAATTCATTGGCCATTGTGTTGTGAGTCTTATGTTGCGAGTCTTTCATTTTTCCCCTTAGTCAAGTTGGACTGTGCTTTTCATCATTCTAATAACACTCTTGATAGGAATCTAAACACTATTGCTTCCCAATGTCAGTGCACTCATCTCTCAGTGGATGCAAGCGGTAGTGGAAACACACAGTAGGGCAGATTATTCCAGTAAATAGAGGGGAAGAGGTGAATGGAAGCCATTAGGTGATTATTCCTTGTCTTCCTGCTCTCAAACATGTAAGCCTAACTACATCTGCAGACCTCCCATCTGTTTTCCACTGTCCAGCAGAACCTTAATTCTTCCAAGTCCAGTCCCCCTACTCTGTCCTGGAAGTCAGCCCCTGCTTTCCCTTTCAAGTGTCTTACTGATCACCCTTACTTTCTATTGGATATATAATCTGCTTTAAACTGGACTATTCACATTCAGTGTTTTTAATATATTTAGGCCTCTCCCATTAAAAATCACCAGGCTTCTCTCAAGCTCAAAGCCAAGTTGAGCTGCTGGACTTAACACCTTTCTCCCCCACAGCCATTCTTCTCAGTGGGCTGCCTATATCCCAACCCTGGTGTTTCCCTACTTCAATCTGGATTTTGCCTTGACAAATCTCTGTAATGTTACTAAAGAGTCTCACTAAATTTAAGGAATACTTTCCCATCTTCTTCTTACTTGACTTTCAAAAACATTCATAAAGGTAACCCTCCTTCAGTTCTTCAAATACTCATATTCCTTGGATTCCATAACACAACACCAACGTGGCTTTCCTACCGTGTCTCTGACTTATTCTCCTTCTATCTATTCGAGATGCTACTGTTTTCACCCTACATTTTCTTCTTCTTCCTCATCTATTCTCAAGGCTTTAAATATGCAATTCATTAATTATGTCTTAAGCCACATTTTTCCTTTAAACGCCAAACTTGTATGTACAATTGTGTGCCTGATATTTCTACTTAGACAGGGTGAGTTTAAGTGGTCTGACACTCATGATCATGATCTTTCATATCAATATCCATTGGATCCTTCTCATGCCTCCTATATCACAAAGGGAACACTAACTTTTCAGTGGCACACACTTTATTACCTGGTCTGTAAGGACATTTTTGTGGTCTGCCCTCTTTAATAGCATGCCCCTTTATTTTGGGGCCCTTGTGCCAGCTGGCTTCTTAACACAATAACTTTTCTTCCTCAAGTTTCTCATCTCTTTCCCAATCTATTTACCTTGAAAGCGTCAAATGATATTTTTGGACTCAATTTTTGTCAGTTCTTCTAGGAAAAACAATCTCCCTGATCATCCAGATTAGTTACGCTCTCCTTGCAAGTTTCCCACAAGAACTCTGAAATAGCACATTTAGTGTATTCCCACTAGTATCTGTTCCTTGTGTGCCATCGGGTAAATATTAACTTTTTAATGGATATTTATTTCAAACATTTCAATATATAATCAATATTTTTGTTATAAAAACATCCAATGTGACTGTTCACCTCTAATACCTCTGATTTTTAAGGGTAAATATGATATCTACTTTTCATTGGCTGTGAGATTTAATAATGTTAAAATAATTTATTCATAGCAAAATAAGAGACAGAAACCAAATTTCCTGCAGATCAGAGAAAACTCAGAGTTAGATATGTGTCAATTTAAAACACTGAAGCTGTTGGAATAAGCTTCTAATGCTTATACAGTGATGTTTATCATTAGAATTATCCCAAGTAGCTTTTTATGTAATCAGCAGCTTAGTAATTTTGATATTTTGCAACATGTGTCTGTCGAATCCATCAGTCTCTATGATGAATGAAATACACAACAACAATTAGCCTTCTTGTGTCAGAGCTCTGTGGAAGAAACCTTAAATATACATTCTTAATTTATTTGTAACTTGGAGACAGCTCCCACCCCATGGTTCACTTTCAAATGTCTGCAACAGCTGTGACTGCACCAGGTAGAAACTGAGAACCAGGAACATAATCCAGGTCTTACATGTGGGTGGCAGGAAGCCAATAACCGGAGTCACCGCTGGTGCCTCCTTGGGTCTGCATCAGCAGGAAGCTGGAGTTAGCAGTCTGAAATGGGCATTGAACCCAAGAATTCCAGTATAAGATCAAGTGGTTCTCTTAATTGGCATCTTATCCACTAGGCTAAATGCTTATTCCTTAAATATATAGAGTTATTTTTAAAGTCTAGGGTCTTAGTAATGTATGAAACCTTAGATTCTAAGTTGCTCTATCTGTTGTTCTTAACTAATACGTGGATGCATGGGTAGGGGAATTAAATGTAGGGGATCAATGCAGTAGTGAACATTTATTTTTAGAGAAAAATGTGCATGGCTTTAACAGTCAGGTATTTTATATACCCTAGATATGCTGAAATTTGGCTAAAATCCATGTCTAATGTGTATCTTGGAAAGGGCTGATCTTTTAAATCAATTCAGAGCCTACCTGCCAAGTACTGGCATGTTACATGGATCACTGCAGTGTCAAAGCCTTGAGGGTATACTCTAGGAAGGAAGATTGGTATCAAATATTTATGTCATCTGTAAAGTTCAACTAAGCAGAAGGTATTGACAATATGTTACGAAAGGAAGAATACAAAGATTTTCATTTGAATTCTTGCTGGGAATGTGAATGGAACTTTTTAGGTGACTAACTCCTTTCAGTGTTTTTCATATATATTGTTTGCTCCTCTCTTCATTGAAAATTCCAGAAAGAAAAGTATATATACCACTTTTAGAATGTTACAATTATAGCAGGCGTTTTTAAGTCCAAAGATATGACATAGTAAGCAGTCATTGAATAAACATAACCTACTTTGAGGTGTGAGAGCACACTGAAATGCTTTATTGCAGCTTATAATGGCATCTTAAAGGAAAATTTCAAAACCATGCATGTTAAAGGCCATGTTCCAACTCCCAAAAATTGTTCAGAGCTGTATTCAGAAGCCACATGTGAAAACTGTTTGAAATGTTCAATTCTGAAGGCTCATTTAACTGTCTGTCTTCTCTTTGCAAAGTGATACCCTGTTGCATGCCTCTGGCTGTTATTTGGTATTTATAGAATCCCATCAGCATACGTGGAACTTTACTGAAGACATAAGGGAAGATCAGTGTCAGAGACTGTAAACTATTTTCCATTCTATTTATACAAGCTTAATAAACAGCAAAGGACCTGACTGGTGTCAAGCCAATAGAGTAGTAATGTAGCATGGAAATTGCTCAGATTTGGATAATCGTACTACTGGTGTTACCAAATATTACAGCTCCTCTGTATGATGCTTAGAAATAGAAACAACACTTTGAAAATATTTTGCCGCTCTTTGACCTGCGAGGCAAATGCTTTAACTCCAACCGCCCTACCTTATTGCTCACTAAGGCATTGAAGAAGACTGCCAACCTTTCAAGAATTATTCACCTGAAATAACCGTTCTCAGTCTACCTATATTACTTATTGCCATCCTCTTTGAATAAGCAGCAAAGGCCAATATATCAACAGATGTGCAAAATGATGGGTGTTTTCGTGGGAATGTATTGCATTTTTAATCATACCAGTAAGGGACAAATCTTAGCAGACTTTCTCACGTCAGAGTATCCCTCTTCTCCTTTTGGTAATTTTGCAGCTAGAAAATGCTAAATACATAGGATTAAAAATTTCCGAGACATCAAGGAAGCCTTTATAGACAAAGTAAATATTAACTGGGACTCATAAGTAAGTACAGTTCTGGTACTGTACTTAAGATAAAGAGACAAGCATTCCAAAAAGAATAAATAAAAATAGGAATAGGTAAAATATTTTTCAGGTACAATGATTGGTTTGTGTGTGGTAGAGGTTTTATACCAGAAAGTGATAAATGGGACATTTTGAAAATAACTGTAACCATGTTTCTTAAAAAGGAGACTGATATACATTGGGTACCTGTTTTTCCCCAGGCATCTCATTTTCTACTTAAAATAACCCTCTAGTGTTAACCAATCCAAATATTATATTACCCCGTTAGCAGTGAATTATTTTTTTGTTCAGTAACCATTTTGAAAAATAAATCTTAGTATAAAAATACTGATAGGGTGACTTTTTCTCATCTCTGCCTCTCTTTTTTTTTAATCTGTTCTGCATGTAGAAAAACCATGTGCCTTGTTTTGCTCTCCTGTGGGAAAAGAACAGCCTATACTCCTGTCAGAAAAAGTGATGGATGGCACTTCTTGTGGATATCAGGGACTGGATATCTGTGCAAATGGCAGATGCCAGGTGAGACATTCCAGAGAGAGTACTCACACGTCAAGGGGGACAGTGGGAACTTTGAGCAGTTTCACAGTATTGTAGAACGCTTTAAACTAAGAGTCCAAAAGGTCGGGGAAGAGTCCTGATTTGATTCTCCATTTTTTGGTCTATATGCTGAGGGATTTGAACTAGGTAATCTATAAAATCTATTAGTAGTTGAAAAAAACCTCAGAGTTTGATTGTCCAATGTGTATGTTACAGGTTTAAAATTGGAACGTTTTGGATATTTTATGTCAAAACATTCCAGACTAAACTTCTAGCACACCAGTTCTCCTATGGCTTTTGTCCAAGACTAAGCCATGAGGCAAATGCTATAAAGTCAATATTATTACTCATATTCAAGTATTATAAACATACTTGGCATCAGTTGATATTTAAATGTATATTCAACTTTCTTGTAACAAATGTTTTATTTACTTTCTCCCCCCTTTTTTACAAATAACTTTCATTTACATGCATTAATATGACCTTCTTCATCTATTTTTAGAAAAATATAGAATTTCTATCAAAGTGACTATGAAGGCCATAGTGGAAAAATAAAAAGCTAGAACTTGGAAGTTGCTAGTCATAATTCTGCCACTGTCTCAGGTTGGCTTCCCCTGGAAGAGTACGAAGCAGAAATTTGAATGCTAAATGTTTTCATGATCAGCATGTATGTGGGGGAAGGGAAGGAACTGGGATTGCGTAGAGGGAGAAACTGGGCTACAGTGCTGTCACAAGACCCTAGTTGGGCTTCCGGGGAACTCTTTAAGCTGTGATTGGCGTTTCAGGGTTGTCATAATTTTGGAAGAGAAAAATAGGCCTTTTATATCCAGCATCTACTAGTATTGAGATGCAAGCTGCCCCAGGAATGGGATATGACTTTAGGAAAGTAGTTGTTGTTATTAGACTAGGCTGTTTCTAATAAACTATCCAGGAGTTGGAGAGAAATAAATCCTTTAGCAATGAAAGAGGTAGCTGAATAGGACAGCACTGAATCTGTTGCAGCCATTAACTAGCCTGTGTTCTTGGGCAACACATGAATGATATGTATGTAAGCATTAACTAACCTGTGAAATGAAGTTCCTGGGCCAATGATCGAAAGCTGTGTGCTCTACACACCTTTGAGAATTTGATGAAAGGTTTATCTCCCCCCATGAACACACACATATAAACACACACTTAAAATTTTAAAAAATTACAAACTACAGAGTGATCAAACTATGATCCCATAGAGGTATATAAACTTCTTGATAGAAGCTGGGAACAACATGAAACTAAAATGCTTTCCCAGCTCCAGGATTCCATATTTTGCCAGAGTGCTATAATGTTTAAAGTACAGAATCATGTAATACCATTGGCATGAGACACAGTCCTATGATTACATATTAATTTCCTTTATTCTTTCACAGAATATGGCATGTATCTTTTCATATATGGCTAAAAGTCATTGTACATACTTTACCTACACATTTTTTTCAGTAATGTATGTTGTGCAATTAAAACTTTTAAGTTTATTTTATCATGTATTTCTATATTTCTTTATGTTGCACAAAATTATTTTCCAAACTTTATATGCCAAATATAATAGCCTCATTTGCTGTGCTTTTCACTTAACAGTATTGTGTAAGCCAGACCTTTACAGAATCCCTGGCTAGACATGGACATTACAGCAACAACAAAAGTCTGTATCAATGTTTTGTGAACCTGATGATGATAATTAAATAGGAATTATCTGAAATGGATTGTGACTTCTCATGGCATTAGAGTACTTTGTTTCTGGCTTTTTAATAAAAATGTTTCATTCAGTCTTTCAAAATAATTAAAAACATGCCTCATTTCTTTTTGTGATCCTTTTTAAATATGTAGGTTTGACTAGAGTATTTTGTTTTATCACAGAACATATAGTACTAAAGCTGAATGTAGACTTCTAAACTTGGTGAATAGAGGGCATGGAAAACAGCTTTGTGCTGGTGACTCAGTTTCGTTCTGTGAAGTTTCCGTTACTAATAAGGATGAGACAGGCTTGATCATATACTTTGCTGTGACTCTCCCATTATTGGTTTGCCAGCGTACCTAGAAGCAGTAAGATGAACTTGTCACTTCAGCTTTCTAGTTTATGTGATCATCTGCTGATGAGTGTGGACACATGAAGCTACGAATTATAGATTATAAAATATCTAAGCTTTATTTTAAAAATATGTAGTTATTGAACTGTAGTATCTATGTCTATCCTGACTGTTACATTAGGCTTATAGACCTAGTTTTAGGGTTAGCAAAAAATTGAAAAAAACTATTAAGCACCAATCTATTCAAGCATTAAACTACCATTTATTCTTCTCTTTTTGTATGCTCAGAGACAAACTGGATACTAGGAATGTAGGTGCTTTCATCATTTTGAAGCCACCTGAGCTCTATTTTCATTTTTTTCTTCATTTGTTCATGAAGTTGAAAAGGTTCAACTTTTATTCCTCCCCTTAACACAGGAATCTCAGGCTTTTCCATGGCTCCTGCTTAGTGTCCCTTTCACATCTCTGGTGACTCCTTCTTTCATCCAGGACGGTCTCATTTTTCCCTGGGGTATGCTTTGACCTGATGATAGGAGCTCTCCACCAACACACTGCTTTGTACTTCTTTACAACCAGAACCACAGGACCAAAATGGGGAAGGGATGCTGTTTTCAGCACATTTCGTGTGACTTTTGTTGTCTGCGGGTATCTCATCCTGCAGCTGGATTTTATAATCCACTTGCATCCTCCACCCCAACATCACTGATGCCAGTCACAAAGACCTTGCTTTCCTGTTTTAGTACTTGTAAACTTTCTCTAACATCATTAGAACTTTCTATAAATGGATTTTCAAACTCTCTGCCAAATCCTTCTTGATGAAGGGGAATTGTGCAATCCAAACATTGGTTTCTGACAGCATCTGCTTACTGAATTCTCCCTTTTGAGGATGTACAACTTTCAAAAATAGGATCTTATTTTTTGAACATCGATAAGAGGCAACCATTATTTCCTGTAAGAGTCAATTGACTTGACTTGATCCTAAAAGAGTCCTGTTAACAGAATTCTCTTAGCTGCATATTAAAATTGATTTTCCATCTGTTCCTGTTTCTTCATAGTAACCATGGAATGTGAGGGGCTCCTTTTTCATTGGCTTGATGCTAAAGGAGATACAAGTTTATTCATGAACTGAATTGAAAACAAATTTTTATATTTAGTTCCCAGAAATTAATATTTAATATTGGGATTTGCTTTACAACTACATTACAAATGAAGCCATCCACATTGAAGTGCATCTGTGCTATGTTGAGAGGACTGGGTTAGATTAATATTGTTTTATATATATATACATATATATATATATATAAACACTCACAAGAGAAATGTGATTTCCTTTGGGATTTATGTAAATTGCATTTTTTCATTTAATACTTTTTTCCAAAATACTTTAAAATATATCACAATAGTATAAGAACAGTACTGTCATCACTGTCACATTGGTTCATCTTGTTACAGATTTTATTATTTTACATAAGCTTGCTATATTAGTTTGTACCAGAGAATGTGATATTTTCTTTTTTGTCTATGAAATGTCTGCTTTGTAGAGACTGTCCTAAGTTAATATTTAAAAATAATCAATTTAATGATGCATTGTTATTCTCTTTGTACAGAGAGTTGGCTGTGATGGTTTATTAGGATCTCTTGCAAGGGAAGATCATTGTGGTGTATGCAATGGCAATGGAAAATCATGCAAAATTATTAAAGGGGATTTTAATCATACCAGAGGAGCAGGTAATTTTAATTTTTTAAAAAATTAATCATTCCTACAGTCTTTGGGGACAGAAGGTGCATTGAACTTGACTTAGAAATCATAATACTGATTCTATGATAGACATTTGCAATGGATATTGAATGTTATTTTTTTTGTGATGACATACAATATATATGATATGAGCCAGAAATCCTAACAAGCCCATTTCCCAATAATGAAAACATGAAGTCATCTGTTATGTATTTAATAAGTTAGAACAACAAGGGAATAATCTAATTTGCATTGGCTAATGTTATACAATTTCTACAGACCTTATTATCCAATACAAAGGATGATGTCTAACAGAAACTAGTGGTATGTAACATCCTGAAGTAACCATTGAGAATATTAGTCTTTGAGTTTTCAGCTTTCCATATTCTTTATTTGTTTCTCAATGTTTTTACTTAATTTGAAAAGGATTAAATTTTGGAAACAGAAGGTATATAATATTGTAACTGGAGGCAGAAGATGTAGTGTTCTAATGGTATTAATGGCAGCAATCATTCTCTCTACCTTTGTTTCCTCATAAGTAGTTAGTAACAATTAGAGGATATAAATATGAAATGACAATGTGATCCACAACAAAAAGTAATCTTTTCTATATTGAGACAATGCATATAATTTATATGCAGGATATGTGTTATGAGCAGATTCTCAACCTTACTGTGAAGAAGCAAACATATCCTGTGTTTATATTACTCTGTTTCCTATCTGTGGTATCATAAATTATGACTCTTTTCATCATCATGAATAGGTTTACATTACATACTTCAATATTTTCCTGGTTTAAATTCCTTTCTTGTTCAAAAGTGATAGCAAAACACCTGAGACTAAAATAGGGATTAGTCTAAATAAAAAGATAAGTCATTTGTGTTTCTGTAATCAAGAAAACTGGGTTCATGCTCAATAAAAGAGGTTTTTAGAAAAGGAAAGTAGATACAACCTTCTAAAGATTGGACATAACCTTTTGGTAGGCCCAACCAGAATAAGAGATAAATGAGCCTTAAGATATTGAAGCTTAAGAATTACGAAGTCCGGCCGGTGCCGTGGCTCACTAGGCTAATCCTCCGCCTTGCGGCGCCGGCACACTGGGTTCTAGTCCCGGTTGGGGTACCAAATTCTGTCCCGGTTGCCCCTCTTCCAGGCCAGCTCTCTGCTGTGGCCAGGGAGTGCAGTGGAGGATAGCCCAAGTGCTTGGGCCCTGGGAGACCAGGAGAAGCACCTGGCTCCTGCTTTCGGATCAGCGCGGTGCGCCGGCCGCAGTGCGGCGGCCATTGGAGGGTGAACCAACGGCAAAAGGAAGACCTTTCTTTCTGTCTCTCACTGTCCACTCTGCCTGTCAAAAAAAAAAAAATTACGAAGTCCCAGGGTAAATTTTAGATCAAAATATCAGTCTCTGAAGCCATGAAAAAGCTTCAGATATGTCTCACTTGTCTAGGTCTGCCAGCACGCATTTAGAAAAGATCTACTAGTTGGCACAGCTTCCCACTACGAAAAATAATTACAATAAGCTCTTCTGCCTGATTTTGATGAGAGAAAGATTGAAGGTAGTTGAATATACTAGAGCTTTTGAAGAATATTCTTACATAATTATTTAATATGCATGGAAACAGTTCATGGAGAAAATACTGATAAACATTAAGAACTGACATCTTTATTTCATTTTTAATAATATTTCCTTTTCCTACCAAGCATATAAAATGGAAATACCATCAAAAATTCAGTGATCTTTTTTTCATTCTGACTGCAGTTATGTGAAAACATTTTTTCTCAGATGTCTCCTAACCACTCCCTTAAAGATCTACATTTGCTTATTTGTGTGTTTATTATAATCATATGTATGAACAATATTTCTAATTGGGAAAATGTCTGAGGTAGTAAAATATTAGGACTACAACTCTATGCAAGTTTCACATGGTTCACAGGGAACAGACAAGAATTCTTATCTTGGAATTCAAAGTTGCCTGTGGGGTCCTCCCTATGTGTGCCTCCAACACATCTCACACCATGGACCCTTCCTTCTTGAAGCTACAGCTGCCAGAATTCTCGTGGACACTCAAACTGACCTGCTGCCCTGGCACCTCCCATTTGCAAATGCCATTCTGTCCGTTTCCTATTAGAATTCCCTGGTAGATTCCAGACATCACTTACATCTCATTTCAAATGTCACTTCTTCAGTACAGTGACCCCAGAGCCACCTCTGAATTCCCATCCTGATGACTGGTTTAGTGATATTACCATATTTGTAACTATACAGAGTAATTCTAACCACATTTTCAATTTTAGGTTCTTTTGTTTTTCCTTCCCCACTAGACTGTAAACTCAGTTATGAAAAATATCATGATATTTATTTATTTATGAGACACACACACACACACACAGAGCTCCCATCTTCTGGTTCACTCTCCAGATGCTTACGACAACTGGCACTGCGTCAGGTAAAAGCTGGCAGCTAGGAACATAATCTAGGTCTTCCATACGGATAGTGGATGATAGAGACCCAGTCACTTGAGCTATCACTGCTGCTTCTCAGGGTGGGAAGCAGGGGTCAGAACCCAGAGCTGGGTATTGAGTCCAGCTATTCCAGCGTAGGGCACGAGTATATTTACCAGAGTCTTAAATGCTAAGCTAAGTGCTCATTATTCATGATAATTTTTGTTCAACATCACAGTCCCAATCACCAGCATAGTGTCAAAGCCATGAATATTTCCTAATTTAATTAATAGTAAAACATAAATTAAATAGAAGTTTTTTAAAACTCTATCTGAGTCTTAATTCTATCATGGGCTCCATCTGCTTGTAACTTTGGGGGCCTTGTATTCTCTTCACTTGAGAAAATGTTATCCCTGTAGTTTATGGACTTACTAGAATTTGTTGAAGGACTTGCACCTTATTTAGTCCAGTTGGCCATACATAATGTACATATTTGTGAGTAAAGCACGTGCAGACACATGTGCTTTTTTTTGGAATTACACAAAATGGTGGATGGTAGTGAGATGTGTAATTCAATGGTTGATTCAGTAAGCTGTGTCCTTAACATTATGATTCTAAAATCATAGCCTCTGTTTCCAGCCCCTGCTGCAGGTGGGCCATATGATACCTTTGTTCTATGCCAAATAACTCATCATTTTCAGGAATTTCAATAATTAATCAGCAGGAGACAACTCTGGACTTAACACTGATAACTTTTTTTAAGGTTTTGACATTAGAGTTTTATCAAATTTATGGATCTACAGAGAAATACTCTGAAGAATATTAAATGTCACTTAATGTAATTAAAAAACATTATATATTCAGCCCAAGATATGTATCTTCTCTATTACTTTTCATCACTAAAGGAAATCTTGATTTTGACTTCTTCTGTACATTCTCTCCTCTGGTTCCACTTTTCATCTTATTTACTACAAACATTACATTCCTAACCTTTGCTGAAAAATTCTTCTGAAACACTTAATTGTATCTTGCTGGTGGCAGAGTGACATCAGAGCCTGGTACTGAGGCCCCACACTTACTTGGCCCCAACTCTAGTTTCAAAACTATATGTTGGGGGCTGGCGCTGTGATAGAGCGGGTAAAGCTGCCTCCTGCAGTGCCGGCATCCCATATGGGTGCCAGTTCAAGAACCAGCAGCTCCACTTCTGATCCAGCTCTCTGCTATGGTCTGGGAAAGCAGTAGAAGATGGCCCAGGTACTTGGGCCCCTGCATCCAAGTGGCAGACCTGGAAGAAGTTCCTGGCTCCTAGCCTCAGATCTGTGCAGCTCTGGCCATTGTGCCCATCTTGGGAAGTGAACCAGCAGATGGAAGACCTTCTCTCTCCCTTTCTTTCTTTCTCTCCCTCTCTCTGCCTCTCTGTAACTTTCCCTTTAAGTAAATAAATAAATATCAAAAAAAAAAAAAGTTAGGGGTCAGAACTGTGGTGTAGTAGGTTAAAGCCCTGGCCTGCAGTGCTAGCATCCCATATGGGTGCCATTTCAAGTCCTGGCTTCTCCACTTTAGATCCAGCTGCTAGTGAGCCTGGGAAAGCAGCAGAGGATGGCCCAAAACCTTGGGCCCCTGCACCCAAGTGAGAGACCATGAAGAAGCTCCTGGCTCCTGGCTTTGGATTGCAGCCATCTGGGGAGTGAACCTGTAGATGGAAGACCTCTCTCTGTAACTATGTCATTCAAATAAATAAAATAAAGGAAAAAAACAAAACCCTATGTTAGTCTCCACCGGGGAGTGCTTGGTCTCCTTTGTCTTGGAGTAACCACTCCAGGGACCTGGTCCATGGTGACTGTCTTTGCTCCAACTGTATTTTTTTCTTTCCCACACTTAAAGAGTTCTCAGAACAAAATCTGAGCTTGCAAACTTCACTGCATTTCTTTTTTTGTTTTTTTTAAAGATGTATTTATTTATTTGAAAGTTAGAGTTACACGCAGAGGGAAGGAGAGGCAGCGAGAAAGAGAGCGAGAGCCAGAGGTCTTCCATCCACTGGTTCATTCCCCAGTTGGCTGTAATGGCCGGAGATAAGCTAGTTCGAAGCCAGGAGCCAGGAGCCGCTTCTAGGTTCTCCCATCCTTTACTGCTTTCCCAGGCCGTAGCAGAGAGCTGGATCGGAAGTGGAGCAGCTGGTACTTGAACCGGCGCCCATATGGGATACCGGCGCCCATATGGGATGCCGGCACTGCAGGCAGTGGCTTTACCTGCTATGCCACGGTGCCGGCCCCCACTGCATTTCTAACTAGGCTATCCTGTTGGGCTTTTTCTGTACTCACAATTAATAAAATACCAGTGAGGTTTTTTACATTAAAAAAAAAAAGTTGTCAGTTATTAGTAATACTGTTGATGCAACATCTTTTTGAGAAACTGCTTCACTTGAAATCATAAAGAGTTTACACATTAAATTTTATTTTACAAAGGCGTTAAAATATTAAGGCAATCATCAAAACTTAAAAAGCATATCAATTAACAAAGGGTGGAGTAGGAAGTATCACTATGCTCCCAAATCTGTATAAATGAAATTTCTTTTTTTGTTGTTGTTGTTGACAGGCAGAGTGGATAGTGAGAGAGAGAGACAGAGAGAAAGGTCTTCCTTTTTGCTGTTGGTTCACCTCCAATGGCCGCCACGGCTGGGGGCGTGCTGCGGCCGGCGCACCACACTGATCCGAAGGCAGGAGCCAGGTGCTTCTGGTCTCCCATGGGGTGCAGGGCCCAAGGACTTGGGCCATCCTCCACTGCACTCCCTGGCCACAGCAGAGAGCTGGCCTGGAAGGGGGGCAACTGGAAAAGAATCCGGCACCCCGACCGGGACTAGAACCCGGTGTGTCAGCGCCGCTAGGTGGAGGATTAGCCTAGTGAGCTGCCCGCTGGCCAAATCTGTATAAATGAAATTTCATCCGTATACATGAAATTGTTCACCTTATATAAATAAAAAAATTATTAAAGAAAATGAAGAAGCCATTTAATTAAATGGCAACATTTTCTACTGTGATACCTTAGATAAAAATACATTATTCCTATTATCTCTTAGTTTATTGAACATAATCCAATTTTGTCACAATAGTTTGGTAATAATTTCTTCTGCTAGAAGACAAGGTTTATTTTAGGAAACATTAAGGTAGCTATATTAAGTCCTCATTTGAGTTAAGAAATTCTTTTGTGCATTCTATGTTAGGTCAAATAAATTTCGAATTTTTTTCAAAGAAAAAAGAAAGATACTGTAAGAACCCAAGATTTATTTTAGGTTTTATTGACTCTTACAGGTTATGTGGAAGTGCTGGTGATACCTGCTGGAGCAAGAAGAATCAAAGTTGTGGAAGAAAAGCCGGGACACAGCTATTTAGGTAACCTGTGTTACAGACACAGAGGTGAACCAAGTACGAGCCCAACTCCTGCCCTGAGAGTTGTGTGAGGAGAGGGCGTCAGCCTGTTGCTGAGTTCATGAGGGAGTTTCTTTCCATTTCTCCCAGGGCCTGACCATGAGCAACAGCAGTTGGATGACCTATATCTATTTCGGGTATACATCTCCTCCATATGTTAGTCTATTAAAAAAGTCATTGAATGATTTGGGTCATTTTTTTTCTCAGATGAGCACACATCTATTTCATGAATATATCTATTTGATATATACACAAATATACAAATTAAGCAATCGCATATATAAATGCATATATGTTTATATAGTGATTGTTTTAGAATCTTGTGGGATTAAAAAAAAAGCTTCTGCAAAAAAGAGAACTTGATCTTTTCATGGAGAAGTGTTTGCTCTCTTGCCTCACTTCAGGAAAATTCACCTATGAGAATGTCCTCAAATATTTAAGTATAGGTCATAGAAAGGACAGGATCAGCTAGTTTACTATTTAAATCAACCACTGAATTGTAAATATAAGATTTGCTAGGTTGTCAAAATACACTTACTTATGTGTTAAGTTGCAATCTAATTAAATCATTAGTCTTATAGTCTTGGAATCTGAAAAAGAAAACTGTTCTCCCAGTATTTAAACACTGTGTTTGTAATATCTTTTTACAGAACATCCACAAATTTTTTTTCTTAGCGAGAATTATGTCTTAATTATTATCCTTCCTAAAATGAACTTAATATTCCAGTATGGAAGAAGCCCTTTGAATGTGGAAAACAATTCATTTTGCATAATTGTTTCAACTGTGCAATTTCAAAAATAGTCTTCATTCAGACTGAATTATTTTTTCCCCTTAACATTTGCTTTCTATATGATAGGAAAATTTAGGGGGACGAAACAATAAAGGAAATCCTCTGTCATGTAATGTACTCATCAGTTTATTACCTATGAATAAAATGTAACCTTTTTGTTTACCTACTATGGTTTTTGAAATATATTTTCAAAGTAAGTAGAGCACCACAGATTTTCAAATTCAGATTAAGGTCCTAATCCACCCCCGAGGACACCAGGCATTTGATGATTTCAGTGCATTCGTTTCTATGCAGATAACTGGCTTGCATAATTGGATACAATTGTCCTTTCCAAGCTGAAAAGGAGTAGAGATGTCTCCAGTAGGATTTTCTCAATTTCTATAAAATTCTAGATTGCTCTTAGTACCCTGACAGATAACTAAATAATGAATAAGTAAACCTCCTAGTTTTACAAATGAGACACCTTCATGCTGCTCCCAATTCCTCACTCCACAGTCTCTTCATCCAAACCAGCCTTGTTTTCTGTTTCTGTCTGTAGTAACTTCCTTTTGCAAGATCAGCAAAAGCCTCTGTGTTGACAGATCCAATAATCACATGTTGCTTGACCCGTCAGCAGTATTTACAACTGGGGACCCATCCTTGCTTCATGAGACGCTTTGTCCTTTTGATGCTCCTCCCTAGTCCTTTCTTGGTTCCTCAGCATCTTCCTGTACCCCAAACTCTCCCTTTCTGTGGGACTCCGGTCTCAGCCCTGCTCTCTTCTCCGCCACAGACTTTCCCCAGGGAGTCAATTTCAGCTCAAATGTTTTACATCAGTATTTGATATAAATTATCAAATGTTTCATAACCACCTCAGAAATAAGGCAAAAATCAAAAATCCAAACCAAAAATTTAATTTCCATTCCATGCTGAAACCCTAGTTCTTCCCTTTGTTTTTCCCTTCAATAGTGAGTGTCACACCTTTGTGTCACTGTGTGATGGCTGCTGCGAGATCCTTTTCATAGCACTGGCTGCAATGTTCCCCGTTTCATTTCTGATTTTAGTAACTCAAGTCTTCTCTTTTTTCCTTTAGTCTGCTAAAAGTTTCTTAACATTGTTGATCTATTCCAAAGACCAGCTTTTGTCTTTGTGTGTTTTTCTCTATTTCTTCTATTCTCTGTTTCATTTATGTGTGCTCCAATCTTGACTAATTCCCTCTTTCTGCTAGTTTTGGATTCACATTGCACTTAATTTTCCAGTTTTTTAAATTATAAAGTTTAGTTGTTTTTAAATCCTTCTTGTTTTAAAATGTGTGTATAGGTATACATTTCCCCATTGCCACTTCTTTTTTTGCATCCCATAAGTTTTGGTATGTTGAGTCTTCATTTTCATTTGTCTCAAGATATTTTCTTGGGCTGGTATTGTGGTGCAGTGGATTAAGCTGCTGTCTGAGATTCCGGCATCTCATATGAGCACCAGACCCAGCTGCTCCATTTCCAATTCAGCTCCCTGTTAATGCCTGGGACAGCAGCGGAAGGTGGCTCAAATGCCTGGGTCCTTGCCACCCATGTGGGAGACCTCACTGGAGTCCCAGACTACTGACTGACCTGGCCCAGCCCTGGCCATTGCAGCCATTTGGGGAATGAACCAGAAGACAGAAGTTCTCTTTTTCTGTCCCTCTCTCTGTAACTCTTTCAATAAATATTTAAATCTTTAAACATACAAAAAAGGTATTTTCTGATTTCCTTTGTGACTTTCTTTGATCCATTGGTTAATTAAGAGGATGTGGTTAAATATCTACAAACTTGTTAATTTTCCAGCTTTCCTTCTGTTACTGATTTCTAACATCATCTCACTGCAGTTGGATGCTATGTATGCCATGCATGTTTTAGGAACATGGATATCAAGGGAGACATTATTCAGTCTATCTTAGCCACTTATGTTCTTCATTTCCTTTATGCCACTTACTATTGTCTGCTTTTCCTTATTAGTTTACACACATATTTTGTAAAAAAATTATTTATGTATGTATGTGTTTACTTGAAAGGCAAAGCGAGAGGGGGGAGAAAGAGAGAGAGAGAGAAAGAGAGAGATTCTCCATCCACTCTCTTACTCTACAGGTGTTCATAATGGCTAGGCTGAAGTAAGGAGCCTGGAGTTCCATTTGTGTCCCCCACGTGGGTAGCAGGGGTTCAGGTATCTGGACAATCATCAACTGCTTCCTCAGGTGCATTCACAGTGTCCTGAATTGGAAGCAAAGCAGCTGGAACTCAAACCGCTGCTCTGATGTAGGATGCCAGCGTCAGAAATGGTGAATTAACCTGTGGCACCACAGTGTTGATCCCGGAATCTGAGGTCACAGGCAGCACACCATGCTACCTCCTTTTGTTTTTCTGTTTTCATTGTTTTCTATGCAACCCTTTGATTTTAAAGCACATGTCATTTGTGAACACAATTTCCTTGAACTTTGCCTACATTACCCCTTTTTGAACCAATGTAATCATTTATTGAATAGAATTAACTCATGAAGGAATAAATCATAATGACTACTATCTAATTCTGTCAAATCCCCTATTCTTTGCCTATTAGAGACATCAGTCATAAATTCCCGCTTTTTTTTATTAAAAGATCATTCAAAGTACAATTTGAATCATGTATCTTTCTGAAATCTCTGACCTTAACTTCCTTTTTTTTGTTTTACTTTTTTTTTTTTTAAAGATTTATTCATTTATTTGAAAGTCAGAGTTACAGAGAGGCAGAGAGAGAGAGATCTTCCATCTGCTGGTTCACTGCAATTGGAACTGCAATTGCTGCAATGGCCAGAGCTGGGCCGACACGAAGCCAGGAGCCAGGAAGTTTTTCCAGGGCTCCCACATGGGTGCAGGAGCTCAAGGACTTGGGCCATCTTCTGCTGCTTTCCCAGGCCATAGCAGAGAGCTGGATTGGAAGTGGAGCAGCCAGGACTGGAACTGGTGCCCATATGGATGCCAGCGCTACAGGCGGTGTCCTTACCCGATACTCACAGTGCTGGCCCCCCTGACCTTAACTTTAATCAGTTCTCCCTGTGCATAGCTTTAGGTCTAAGTTATAAGAGTATTTTACTTATACAAATAAACAGCATCTATGCACTAAAAAGCATACATGCTGCCTGAAGATTTAATGTTGAAAATACAAATGTTATCACATTTCTTCTAGAGCCTATTAAATTTCCTTACTTGCTTAACTGGGGAACAGTGATTATCCCAATGAATTGATAAAGAGTGCAGGAATGGAGAATAAGAAGCCAGCTGCATAAGCCAGTCTACAAGATAGGAATGGTAAAATCCCAGTGGCTTGCAGGGACATTACAGAAGTTGAGCTGATAGAACTTGTTGAAAAATGGATCTGAGTATTGATCGAGGATCAAAATTCCAGGATGATTTCTAGGTTCCTGAGAAGTTATGGTGCCATTTCATGAGCAAGGGGCATGTTTGGAGGGGAAAAGACATAACACAATATTAAAATTCTAGATTTCAAGCCTAAAGGCCTGGTAAGTGGATACATATCATAAATCACACTTCCTAAAGGCTCCTTTGGGCATAGGAAGGAAGTTGTTTGAAATCGTCATCTGAAATAGCTTTAGCAAAAAGGAAAGAAAATAGAACCTTGGCAAACTGATCATCCTTAAACAAATTAACTTGTCTACATCAAACTATATATTATTTCAGAGGAGACGTTTAATCCCTCCCCCCTTCCTTTTTATGACTGTCTTTGGACAGTACCAAGGTACTTCAACAAGTTCTTGGAAAGATGGAATTAAGGTAAATTTGCTTTGGTGCAAAAAATATAAAATCCATGCATAGTTTTTTCATAAAACACATTTCCCGTGAACTTTTTGAAGATACCTTGTATGCATGAATTTCAAAAATTTTTGCATCAAAGTAAATTTATACTTTAATTCCATTTTCTAGGAACACTTTGACATATCCTCAGATTTTTATATTCAATTATTGCTTGTTTTTTCAAATATTGTTGGCATGATTATTTTGTTAGTAATTTATCCAAAAGCCTAAAAAGGAGAGTAGTTTAAATTGGTCATATATGACATCTCTTCTTTTTAAAAAGACTTAATAATTTATTTGAAAGGCAGAGTGTCAGAGGCAGAAAGAAGGATTTTTTTTTTAACTAGGTAGAGTTACAGACAGAGAGAGACAGAGAGAAAGATCTTCCTTCCGTTGGTTCACTCCCCAAATGGCCTCAACAGCCAGCACTGCACCGATCCAAAGCGAGGAGCCAAGTGCTTCCTCCTGTTCTCCCATGCGGGTGCAGGAGCCCAAGCAGCTGGGCCATCCTCCACTGCCCTCCCAGGCCACACCAGAGAGCTGGACTAAGAGGAGCAACCGGGACTAGAACCCGGCGCCCATATGGGATGCCGGCGCCGCAGGTGGAGGATTAACCAAGTGAGCCACAGCTGCTGGCACCACAAAGAAGGATCTTTGATCTGCTGGTTTACTCCCCAAATGGCTAAACAGCCATAGCTGGGCCAGGCCTACACAAGGAGCCAGGGACGCCATTCTGGTTTTCCCAAATGGGTGGCAGGAACCCAAGTACTTGATCCTTCTTAGGTCACCTTCTAGAAATCTGGCATCACACTTAAACACTTCCTTGTGTTCAGGACAGCAAAATCATCACAGTATTCTTTTGATTTCACTCCTAAATGCATCTTGATATTTGTTTCCACTACCTTGCTCCAAGGCAACTATTACTTTCAGTTGGGCTACTGTTATGCTATCTCCTGTCTTGCTATATGTTTATCCTAAACCAGTCCATTTTCCACATAATATTTTTGAAAATCTTTTAAAGTTACACTTCTTTGGTGTGGGGAGAACCCTCAATATACCTACAAGGGCCCTGAAATCTGACTTTCTCTTGCCTCTGCATCCTTTTCACTTCAGGATTTGCCTTAACGCATTTGTTTCTGGATTACGATCGAGCTGCATTAAACGTCAGGGCCTTTCCATTTAGAACTCCCCTAGTCTTGAAGGCTCTTTCTCATCTTCTCTAATTTATCATAATGAATTTCCTCAGTAAATATCATCCTTCCCATAAGCTTTTTTTTTTGACTCCTCTCACACAAGTGTCAGCATGTAATAATTAACTAGTTATTCATAGAACTTGTTTTAATGTCTGGTTCTCTACTTAGATTATGCATTCCATGAGGCCAGACAGTATGTCTACATTGTCCACTTAGGGAGTTCCAGAACTTTGAGTATTATCTCCATTAAAGCTGATACAGGATACGTAATTCCTCAGTCAAAATTAAATGTTATATAAGGGGAAATCACTTCCAGGGAGGTATTCAGAAATGGACACTATCAATCATGTTATAATCTAACAGAAGAACTGGAAACACAAATTGACACAACCTGTATTACAATATGTTTTAAATTAGTTTTCAAAATCTTTAAAGCTTAATCTCTTCTACTCTGCCATTCCAAATCAGATAATTTATCCAAAGGGAACATTCATATATATATACATAATTAATTTACAGTATATTTATGTAAGCATTATTTACAATATAAAAAACTTAAAGCCAATAAGTTGGAGATTAGCTTAAAGAATAATTAGCAAGATTTATCAGTGTAAGTTTTAAAAACATTTTCATATAGTTTTAAACATTCAGTTAATTTTTGTGTGCATTTCTTTTGGGGAAGAAAATTAAGTTGTATGGGAAATTCTAAAAGCATATATGAAAAATTAAATCATCTGGACAAAAAATAAAACTGAATCTTTAATTTAGAATGGTAATCCATGTCATGAATTGTGATTAAACAGTAACAGAGATCAGGTCAAGAAATGGAGAGAAAAAAATTATGTAAGTGAGGTTATTTTGTAAAATCCCCCTACAAACAATTGCTGCTTCTAGGAGAGAAGCTGCAATTTATCCTCTGTTCTTGCTCATAACAAATCTTACATTGGAAATATTAAAAGGCCCTGAGTCTGTTTTTAAAACCAATATGTTACCATTGAATCATTTTGTAGTACCTGTATACCTGCTATTTTTTTCTATCAGTTAACATACTGTTGAATTAACATTCTTTAGTCACACACTTTTCTGGATAGGCATAGGAGACATAAAGCACATATAAGGTGTGGCAGAAGCCTTCCCTGTGTTTGTAGGGTCATTAGATAGATAAGATAGATATACATAGCCTTAACATAATGATGTTTTAAAGAATAAATCACTAAAACTCTCAGCTCCACTCTCCAAAAATAAATAAATAAATAAAAACGGCCTGCAGACATCAAATGGCCAAGGAAGCTGGGAGAGGCAAAGATAAATGTGTGCACTTGGCTGTGTGGTTGTGGGCAGCTTTTGGAAAGGAGTACTTGGAGCTGGTACTCTCACTAAGGACACTTCCCAAGGAGGAGATGTCTCGCGGTTCACTTCAGGTTGTGTGTTACCCTGTTCATTTTAGAAATGCATGGAATTCTTTTAATGGAACAATGTAATATGGACATTGAACAGTGATGCTGACTTGTTAATACTCATAATACTCTTTATAGCTCTTCGGGATGCTGGGAAACAGTCTATTAATAGTGACTGGAAGATTGAACATTCTGGAGCATTTAATTTAGCTGGAACCACCGTCCATTACATCAGACGTGGCCTCTGGGAGAAGATCTCCGCCAGAGGTCCTACTACAGCACCTTTACACCTCCTGGTATGAGAGACGAGTTGGTAACATTGCATTCTCAACTTCTCACAGCAAAGATATTCCTCCTGTGCCTGCTCCAATCTTTTCTCCCAATCTGAATTGTGGGATATGCATTTAAAATTAAGAGGTGGATTTTTAAGTTTTCAAAATGTGTTTTAAATCATGATACCTAAAAAGCAGCAATTGTTCCAAAAGGAGCAAGATGTTTTATGAAGTCATAGACTCAGTATAGAGATGGATCACCAGACAATAGGAACCATTTTTCCCTAAAAGTATACATTTACCAACCAGAGTCGATGTCTATCAACAGGGTGCAATAATATGGTAAATCATAGGGTTTCATACATTACCATTGTCTGAATCTATATAAAATGCCTTTCATCAGTTATTATTTTACCTGGAAAAAGAATTTGGTAAATGTATCTAGCAGTGCTCTCAATTATACTTTTATATTTTCTTCCTAAATTAATGTTTGGGATGATAACTTTTTGTACAATATGTCAAAAGACTAGGTTTGAGTTAGGATAAAGTTTGGAGGGCAAGAATCAGTGCAAAGCAAACCTAGCCAGGCTGGTGGCAGGTCCACGTGCTCCATCCAGTCAGGAATGTCCATGCTGTGGCACAGAAGACAGAGGGCTGATTACATTGCTGGGGTGAGTGTTTCATTCTAGTGGCAAAAAAAGTCTAAAATTCAAACTCTTCAATAGAGGCCACGCATAAAACTACTCTATAATATAGTTGTTTATTGGGAGTATGGTATGCCACATTATTTAAGAATAATATTTAAGAACTCAGCGTGAGAAAATCTAGGTAGTGTGCACAGTGTTGTCCAATAAATTAATTAGCTGTGAATAAAACAGCACTTCTCTATGCTCCTTCTCCTGGAAAAAGCTTAGATCCAAGTCCTTTATACCAAGTAGCTTTGGATTGTAAACAGACGTGTATTCTGAGTAATTATTTTGTGTTTCACTCCATAATGCTCTTGGATCCTATTATCTAATTTCACTTGGAAACTCTACTTTGCCCTGTGCCATCTGGGAGGGTATGGGTGTTGTAGGGCATGAACAATACCCAGCCCCTCTGTGACTGGATTATTTAAGATAAAGTCATCGGCCCCCGTGATTTAGTCATTGGGTTACAGAAAACACCATTACGTTTGCCTGACTTATGTAAGTGTAACCTACATTTTTTAAATGGGACTAGACCAAAGCTCCTGTCCTGAGCCTCTGCTTCAAAATCTTACAACAGTCTGTACTGGATCTCAGTGTTGGGTACAGGGGATTTTCCTGCCTCAGAATCTGTAATCTGACTGGTAATTACCGTGGTTTTTCCTGGAAGCATGAAGCATAATTAAAGTCAGTGAACTATGTCTAAAAGAAGGCATCTATGTGACCTGGATTTATTCAGTAATCCAAAGGAAACTGCACTTCTAAGATATTTTTCTTTAATGACTATTACAGACTGAAAGCTGGTACTGAATTCTGAAAAGCAATACCTTCAGCTGCCATGCGTCAGTGTGTGCCCCTAGCCTGTAACAGGGTCACACTTTGCTTTTTTGCAAAGAATACTGCCAATTTCAAATGGCTTAAGAGCTACTGGATTTGTATCCAATGATTGTATTGTATTTAAAGACAATCTAAAGTTTTATCAATGAAAAGGCAGTTTTTTAGGAAAAATAGACATGTTATCCTGTAATTAAGTCATCAAACAGCTGTTATTCTTATGTGCATTTCATCAATGTGAAGCCATCTAATCATCTGTTTATGACAATACACTCCTTTTAAAACCACATTTAAATTCTCTGTCTTTAATCTCATTAGGATGAAAGTAACTTATATTTGGCAACCTGAAATATGATTATTTAAGCCCAAACCAGTGCTGTTTCATACTCAGAATTAGTACCCAGCATGTTGGGCATCAGGAACTTATAAGTTATTATTTTTATTACTAATATAGTCGTTTCATAAATTCAACACCCAAGTTCCCCAATCCACACATTAAAATATGTTTTAGTAGTTGTTTTGATATATTGAACAAACCTTGAGGAAAAAATAATAAAGAAAATACTATGTACAGAAATGTACCCTGGCTTATTTATATTTTTTGCAGAGTATTAATTTTTAATTATTATTACCACAGCTGTGTTGATGAAGGTTAAATACTAAACAAAGTTCCTTAACAACTGAGTGAAATCTGAAAATGCAGGCAGAGTAGTATTTTTCTGTGGATCACACTGAATCATCTGAACTGCTTCCATAAATTATAAGAGCCACAGAAGTAATATATTTCAGGTAGTTGTTTCTGACATAGTTAACTCTAAATAGATTCATAAAGTAATGCATTATCCATTCATTCCCTAAAATATCTCTGTGGCCCATGTGTGTGTAAGTGCCCATGATGACCCAGTACTCAGCCTGGTACTGTACCGGTGGAGGACAAAATGCTCATAAGCCCTGCTTATTCCTCTTTGCAGGCATTCCCACATATCCTTTGTGGCTTATTGAGCTGTTTAAGTATATGCATATAACTGTACTACTAATATTTACTTAAAATTTCTTTTTAATATAGGTTTACTTTCAAAGAAAACAGTCTGTACTACAAATGGAAAAGCAGTAATGTTTCCAAAAATAAAAGTTGACTGTAAGCATACATTGGAAGACAGTTATCTGGTTGGCTTAGAACTTCTCTGCCCTCATGAAGTACAGTGATGCCAAGTCTTTTCCCTCCTCCGCTGTTAACAAAGGGACTTCCTGTCCATTTCTCTTTTTTGTATGAGTGGAAAGGCTACATTTGTATTATATTGTGGGTCACATCTTGATGTTAAGTGGGATGGATATCTCTGCCCCCACAAACCCTACTCCTCCACCAGATTCATCATCGGCATGTGTCCTGCTTTGTGAAACTGTCTGGTTCATCAAATTCAAAGAAAATGGTCTGGTATCTCTGACCTCATTCAAAGGGCTTTTCTTCTTGATGTCTTTAGATCAAAGGTAAGTGTGGCAATCCAGACTTTTCAAAAGCAGGACAGTTTCAACATTTGAGAGTGATTTCACCTATCTGTTCTGCATTAAAGAAGCATGCTCACCATGCAGCAAGCGTTTGGAGGCTTTAAGATCCTTAAATGCTTTGCATTGAGTTTGCTCGTTTTACCTGTCTGCCTTGATCATGTTTATACCACAGGTGCTCCTGTTTCAAGACCAGAACTACGGTCTTCATTATGAATACACTATCCCCTCAGACCCTCTGCCAGAGAACCAGAGCTCTAAAGCGCCTGAGCCCCTCTTCATGTGGACACACACAGGCTGGGAAGATTGCGATGCCACATGCGGAGGAGGTGATGCATTTTAAAATACTTATCCTTGCAAAATGGCCGTTGTGTTCTGATGAATGACTGATAATAGGACAGCTCAAAACCCCTAATCTGCAACTCCAAAATTCATAAGTGACTGAAGACCAGCACTTTGTAAAGGTAGACATGTACGTACATGGCTTGGTGGCCAACTACCTGAAATATTTTGTGGCAAATCTTCCTTGAAATGAAGAAAAGCTGTTTATAATTGTTACATATCTCTTAATATGACTACTCATTGCATTGTACTGAGTAATGTACTGATATTTAAAATCCACCAGATCTCCTAGAGACCATTTGTTAGGTTTACACACACACGTGCACACAGACACACAGACACACACATATGCATTCTGTATTGCTTCTGTAAAATATCAAAAGTTCTAACTCCCAGACTACACCTGCCCATGGGAGTTTCTGACCTAGACTAAATGTAAGAATACTTTGATAGTATTTCAGGCATGGAAAGCCAAGACACTCTGGAAAAAAAAAAATGACCTAAATGAAAGATCTCTGTGAGTGAGATCCCAGCGGAAAGAATGGGCCATCAAAGACATCAAAGAAGGAAGTACCTTTCTCTGAAGGGAGGAGAGAACTTCCACTTTGATTATAGCCTTGTCTAAATAAGATCGGAGTTCGCAAACTCAAGAGGCTTCCATAGCATTGGCAGCTCATGACAAGAGCCTCGGGTGATTCCTGACGTCATAAACAAGAGTGTCAATTGTTAAATCAACAACAGGAGTCACTGTGCACTTACTCCCCATGTAGGATCTCTGTCCTTCATGTGTTGTACTATGTGAATTAATGGTATAACTAGTACTCAAACAGTACTTTACACTTTGTGTTTCTGTGTGGGTGCAAACTGTTGAAATCTTTACTTAGTATATACTAAATTGATCTTCTGTATATAAAGATAATTGAAAATGAATCTTGATGAAGCATGAGATGGGAGAGGGAGTGGGAGATGGGATGTTTGCAGGTGGGAGGGAGGTTATGGGGGGAAAAACCTGCTATAATCCAAAAGTTGTACTTTGGAAATTTATATTTATTAAATAAAAGTTAAAAAAAATAGGATACTTTGACAGAGTAGTATTCAGCATGCTTCTTTGTCATCTGTATACTTAAGCTAAATACATAGAGCATGCAAATGTCTTCACTTTCTCATTTCTAAGAGGGTATTACTATTCTCAAATAATATAGAAGCTTTCTAAAATTTTGATCAAAGATTTTCTGTTTTTATTTTCTATTTTATTTTTTTGCAAGGCTGAGAGAGAAAGAAAGAGAGAGCAAGCAATCTTCCATCCATAGGTTCACTACCCAAATGCTCACAACAGCAGGGGATGGGCCAGGAATCAGGCAAACAAAACCCAGTCCAGGTCTTCCATGTGATGGCAAGAACCCAAGTGCTCAAGCCATCATCTGTTGCCTTCCAGGCTGTATATTAGCAAGAAGCTAGGATCACAAGCAAGGGAGCTTAAGGCACTATAATATGGGATGTGGGTGTCCCAAGCAGTGTCTTAACAGTTGTACCAAATTCCTGCCCCTCTTCTTTTATTTCTGTTTTAGAAGTTGAGGAAACAAAAGGGTGAAATTACTTCACCATTAAATGTAATATTAGGAACTCATTTAATCCAAATCCTTTATGTTACCAGTGAGACAGTTAAGTCCTGCAGGCTGGGTGATTGCTGTTGATCACAGAACCAGTTTGTGGTTAGGCCAGGTTAAGATGCCAGGCCATGAGACTTCACACTTCCCTTTGTATCCGTGTATATCAGCAATATATTATTTCAGTTTTTTCCCACTTAATAACAAATTTTCCACACCTCTGTAGCAATAATCCCACTAAGGCTAAAATGAACCATTAAGTTACACAGAATTGTGATATATGCCCCTACTGTGTATGTCAGATGAACAGGTTTGCATGAAGCAGTCAACTGTCTTGTATTTTCTGGCAAGGAAACTATTGAAATGCCATCCTCCAGTGTTGCTGCAGCAGACATGGAGAAGGTGCACGAGGGACTGGCATGAGGGGAGTGTGTTAAGGAGGGGCGAAGACAAAACAAACATACTATTACGTAACATGGTATCAAACTGTGATGTGATAAAAAAATAAGTAAGGAGAGGAAATAAAGGCAGTGAAGATCGGAAGTATAGTTACAGTTTTCACTATGATAGTTAGAAAAGACCCTTCAGGGAAGATCACACTGACTAAAAAGACGGAAGAGGGTTTGTGCAAGCACCAACTTCAATGGTTCCTAGAGACAGAGAGTTTTTAGCAGTGGTTTAGAGACAAAAGCAGAGTTGATTGCTCACAGAAAAGCCAGAATGCCGTATGGCCTTCCCGTTTGTGGAGTGATGTGGGACACAGATGGGGAGGTCTGGGATTGAAAAGCAACTTATTTTGGCTTATGTTTTATGAGGTTGTTTCTGTTTCTGAGTGGGGAGTGGTAAAGGGCAAAAGCAGAGATATCAGTAAGCACATTAGTACAATAATTCGGGGGGGGATCTATCATAATTGGAATACTGTGGTAGCATTGGAGGAGGGGAAGTGGTCAGGTTCTGCATAATCTGGAAAGCAGAACGAACAGATTATGTTGATGGACTAGATTTGAAGTCAGGGGCACAGGGAGATGCCAAGCATGATGTTAATGGCTTTTGTCAAGCAACTGGCAGAATAAAGTCACAGTTGACTTACCTGGGAAAAACCCTGGGATAGCAGGATGTGGAGGGACTAGAGATTCAACCTAAATTTGGGGTGCTTTTTGGTCATCTATGTGTAGTGTCAAGTAACCAATTGGGCATATAAGTCTGGCATTCCCAAGAGACTATTAGACTAGAGATGCAGAGTATATGGGTGTTTTCTTGAAATTCTTAAAGTCACCAAAGGAGTGGGTAAAGAAAGGACAAACTCATTAGAGAACTGAGACGTTGGTTCCTTTAGTATTTAGTTTGAAAGATGAGGCACCAGAGAAGCTGATTAAAATAAGTAGCCAACAGCAACAAAGGAAAAAAAAAAAAACAAGCTTGGAAGAATACATTCCTGTAAGGCAAGTGAGATACTATCTAAGGAAGAAGAGAATAATTAATTGTCACAAAAGCTGTTAATAAATTTTAAATGATCTGGACAGAGAATTGAATATAATGTTAAAATTTACATATGTTACATTATAAATTTATTATCTATTATATTTGAAACATGGGGGTTAACAGGCCTTGTAAAAGTTATTTTTAATGAAGTGGTTGGCTCAAAAATTGAAGTGGAGTGTATTAAAGAGAAAGCAGCCGAAGAATTGGAGAAAAGAACTCCTGGTAACTCAAGAAATGTTGCTGAAAGTTGAACAGAGAAACATGGCAGCAACAAAAGGGGAATATGAGTCAGAGGAGTTTGTTATTGTTTTTAGTAGGGAAAATTATACATCGCTGTTTGCAATGTGCATTTTCTAGAATAGAACAGGAAACTAATGATGCAGAGAAAAAAAGCAATTATGATTTTGGAGAGATATTCAGATAAATGGGATGGTGAAATTGCCTTTAGACAAAAATATAGATAGCCTATGACTAGTAAGAGCAGAAAACACAGGTATTTGGAATTTGTGGTGGTAATTTGCAGGGCAGGGAAGGGGTTGCCTTTCTGAGGGTCCAAGTATTGAAAAGGAGGTATTGAGTTCTGGTGAGAGAGGTTGGGAAGCGGTCATTTAGAGAATGAAAACGAATAGAACTTGTATGTACATTTTGATGGTATGGTACCACTAATGGTCCACTTGAGGTTAATGTTCATGAATTCATATGACACCAGTCCTCCTGATGCTCTGCTACCCTCCATCTATGAACAGTATACAGATGCTTCTTGCTGGGTCTTGTTATTAGCACATGACCTGAGCTCCTCTGTCCTCCATTTCTGCCTGTTGATACCTATATACACCAAATTTCCTGTTCATCTGCTCCACCCATTCTTCACTGATGCCAGGGCCCGTCTCACTTAAAGGGTTCATATCCTCCAACCAAATAAAAAATAAAAACCCAGGGGTAGGCATTTCGCTTAGCAGTTAGGATGCACACATCCTTATCATTGCATGGATTGGAGACCTCACTGTGTTCCCAATTCCAGCTTCCTGCTTATGCAGACTCTGGGAGGCAGTGATGACAATTCAAGTAGTCACTGGCACCCACATGGGGAAAACTAGTTGAGTTTCTGGCTATGCCAAGCCTGGATCATTATGGGTATTTGTAGAGTGAACCAGTGAACCAGCTAATAGACTCTCTCTCTCTCCCTCCCTCTCTTTCTCTCTCTGCCTTTCTCCCCCCACTTCTTCCTCCCTCTCTCCCCCTCTAAGTAATAAAAACAAACAATAATTTTAAAAACCACAAACTAAAAGAAACTCTAAATGAATTCTGCATAGTTGCAATTGAATATAATGGATTATATTAAAGTTCTAGTTAATAAAACACAGGTAAGATTCCTAGTCAGGTCCACAGTCCCACTGAACAGCCTTGATTCCCATCATGGTATTGGCTGTGGGAGAACGATGTGATAGAGAGACTGAGTATTGGTTCATGTTGTAGCACTGAAAAGTCATCATGGAAATCTGTTTATATTTAAAGACAGGGAAATACACGCCCAATAAATTTTATTATCCTGTTACTTTTCTTTTTCTACACTTGTGATCTAACAACCACATCAGAAATAGCAGAAAATAGAACTTGTCAGCCTTCCAACTGAAAAAGCAAATTGTTTAAGGCTAATTTTTTGCCCACAAATTATATTAATTACTTTAGAGAATATGTTTCTCGAGTTTCTAAACTTTAAAGAACAGAGATTCACTATAAATTGTTTAGTTTCAGAGTCAGAAAGAATATTAGATTTCTGAAGCATGACTTCTTAATTATCAACATGAAAAACTGAACCGCATACATCAAAGTGACTTCCCCAGGTCACATGGTCCATGAGGGGTGGAACCAGGATGAGAATCAGAACCCCTAAGGTC